TTTTCCCTTTGCCTATGTCTCTACCTCTCTATTATCTCTCATGAATAAATAAATGAAATCTTTAAAAAAAGAAAAAAAGGCACACAAATGTTAGGCCTAGACTACCACTAAGGATGGCTACATCAGACTCTAGTTGTATGGGTTGCCTCGGGCAGGAAAACTGGTGACTTGGATTCACTGTATTCCTTTTGTGATTTTTTTTTTTTTGAAGTATAGTTGACACACAACCTTACATTAGTTTCAGGTGTACAACATGGTGATTCAACAAGTCTATACATTATGCTGTGCTCACAAGTGTAGCTACCAGCTGTTACTGTGCAACCCTATTATAATACCATTGACTGTATTCCACATGCTGTACCTTTCATCCTCGAGATCTATTCATTCCATAATGGAAGCCTGTGTCTCTCAGTCCCCTTTACCCATTTTGCCTACCTACCATCCTTAGTGGTTTTTTGAAGTTTGAACAATGTGAATGTGTTATCCAAAAAATAATAGAAATAATAAACCTGGGCAGCCCAGGTGGCTCAGCGGTTTGGCGCCTGCCTTCAGCCTAGGGCATGATCTTGGAGACCCGGGATCTAGTCCCATGTCGGGCTCCCTGCATGGAGCCTGCTTCTCCCTCTGCCTGTTTCTCTGCCTCTCTCTCTCTCTGTGTCTCTCTGTGTTTCTCATGAATGAATGAATAAAATCTTAAAAAAAAAAAAAAAAGAAATAGTAAACCTATATAAAATAGAAGAAGGAAGCCTCTCTTAACTACCTCTCCCAGTTTTGCTCCTGACTCAGCTTAACCCATGGTTAGCAGGTTGGTTTCTATCTTTTTAAGGCCTTCCTCTATGTTCATACAATGTGTATTTCTCTTTGTATTTTTAGAAAATAAAGATGGGATTATATTGTATCCATGGTTTCTGTAACATGCAGAATAATGTAGCAGGAACGCAGACTTCTTAAAAATGCTAGATGTTTGGGATTTCCTTCTGCCTAAGGTGCTTATTATAAAAATCAAAGATCACAGAGTCAAGTAAACATAGGAAGGAAAAAAAGTGTAAAAGAGCACCATCTATTTCAGTATTTTAAACACAGACCCAGAGGTTGAGAAGGAGCTCCAGCTAGCTGTCAGCTGTGGTCATCCTCGGGTTAGGGAAGAAAATGGCTAGGTGGGCTTCTGGTTTGTCAGCCTTATGTAGATTTACAGTGAGAATGTATTTTTGTATATTTATTTTAAAAAATACTTTGTAATAAAAAAAAACTTTAAAGATTTTATTTATTTGACAGAGAGAACAAGTAAGGGGAGCGGCAGCAGGAGAGGGAGACACAGACTCACCACTGAGTGGGGAGCCCAAATGCAAGGTTCCATCCCAGGACCCTGGGGTCATGACTTGAGCTGAAAGCAAATGCTCAACTGAGCCACCCAGGAGCCCCCCAAAAAAGCATTTAAAGAAAAAGCTGGAGGACTATGTCCCCCTCCCGCCCCAAAAAAATGTGGGGGAAGAAGAGGGCCAAGTGTGAGTTTGCTGCATATTCATTGGTAACAGCCTGCTGTATATTCTTCAGGCTTTTCCCATCCTGTGTGTGTGCATGCACACACATCTCTTATTTTTGTAACAATGGTAACATGCTCTAGGTTTTTTTTTTTTTTTAAAATAACAGCTTTATTGAAATATAATTCACCTATGATAATGCTTGTCTTTTTAAAGTATATAGTTCAGTGGTTTTGCAGAATATTCAGAGTTGTACAACCTTCACCACTTTCTTGGCCCTGAACAGTTTCTTCACCCCAACAAGAAACCCCAAACCCATCAACAGTCACCCACCCGCCCCCCAGTGGCTCTCGCCTCTCTAGGCCCCTGGCAACCACTAATCTACTTTCCACCATTATGGATTTGCCTATTATGGACATTTCACGTAAATGATATCATATATTGTGTGGTCTTTTGTGACTGACTTCTTTCATGTAGCATGATGTTCCCATCATACACACATGTTGTATCAACTATAAGTACTTCATTTTTTTTCTAATATTTATTTATTCATGAGAGACAGAGAGAGAGAGAGGCAGAGACCATAGGTAGAGGGAGAAGCAGGCTCTCTGCAGGGAGCCCAATGCAGGACTCCATCCCAGGACCCCAGGATCATGACCTGAGCCAAAGGCAGACCCTCAACCACTGAGCCACCCTGGTGCTCCCCCTCCGTGTTTTTTAATAGGGTTAGACTTTATATGATTTCATTCCTTTATAGGTGGTGGCTGGTACCTCTCAGTGCGCTGGCCCCCTTTCCTGTCACACCATTTCCTCCCTCCAGGGAGTCCACAGTACTTGAAGAGGCTGTAGTCACCTGAAGAGACTCAATTTAGGGAGAGGAAGGTGTTTGCCCAGGATCCTAAACTCTGTGTTGTGGGGTTGCCAGAGTCAGCTTCCAGCTGAGGCCACAGCCCCTCCCACTTAGCTTGTGATAAGCCGACCCAGATCCACAAGCCTCTCCTCAGAACCCCCACCTCACCCCTCACTCCGTGCCCGGATGTCCCTCTGAGCACCCGCTTCCCAGGCGCCACTTGTGGGAGGGACTGTTTGTGGGGGGATCTGTTCTGTGGCATCACCCCATTTCCTACCTCCTCCTTCTGCTTTTCAAAGATCCCAGATCATCCCTTCTCAGATACTGGCTCTCTGCTCTTGGCACCCAGAGTCTGAAATATCAGCCTCTGTCTTCCTGCTACATTTGCATTTCAAAAGGTCTCTTTAGGATTTGATTGGGCTCCAAGATAGACTTCAGACCCCAGCTGGAGTTCATTTCTCTGGTTCTCTGGTGCCAGCCAGGGCCAGGCAATAGAATTAACCTGGGAAGCTATTTAAAAATACTGATGCCTGGGACCTACCCTGGACCAGTTGCAACAATATCTGGGACCCGAAGCATCAGGATTTTTCATTTAACTTCTCCAGGTAATTCTGATGTGCTTCTGGGTAGAAAGCCACTGTGCTACCTCCACTCTGGCCGTCATCAAAGGGCATATTTTTTCCTTCCAAGTCTTGGGAACTATATCAAGAGCTCTGTCAGGAACTGGTCCCAGGTCACTATGGATTTGCTGTGGGACGTTTCTCCCACCTTCAGCGAGGTGGGGGCTTGGATTAAGTCAGTGGTTCTCACCTTCTGGGATGGGAGTGAGAGGTGGAGGGATGGGGAAGCATGTATTCAAACACCTGGAAGCATCCTCAAAAAATACTCGCTGAGCTTGAAAAGTCAAAAGCAACCTAAGTTATGCACTACTAATATAAATTATCCCTCTCATGGGAGGAGTGTTCAGCAGATTCATGCATCTAACTGGGTGACTTCTAAAATTTATTTTTTTTTTTCATTTAAAAAGGATTTTTTTTCTGAGAGAGAATCTCAAGCAGACTCCCCACTGAGTGCATGGTAGGGGGCGTGGCAGGATCTGATCCCAGACCCTGAGATCATTACCTGAGCTGAAATCAAGAGTCGATCGCTTAACTAACTGAGCCACTCAGGCATGCCCTGAGTGACTTTTTTAAACATCAAGAAACTTTAGTAAAAATTATTAACCTTAACAAAAATTAGTAACCTTTCCTCAAGTTCCCTTCATAGGGCTTGTGCCATTTTGCATTCTTCCCAGTGATATAGGACTTTTCCTGCTTCTCCATAACTTCCGCAATAGAATGCATTGTCAGATGATTGAATTTTTGCCAATCTGATAGGTGAGAAATGGTATCAGGGTGTAGTTTTAATTTGCATTTCTCCATCTTGAATAGGGTTGAACATCTTCCTATGGTTACAAGCCATTTACCTTTCTTTTCCTGTGAACAGTTTTTCATATCTCTAGGACATTTTAATATAGTTTGTTGGCCTTTTGTTTTCTATTTTATGAAGCTCTTTATGTATTTAGGATATTAACCCTTTGTCAGTGCAATAAACTGCAATTTTTTTCCCAGTATTGTTTATATTTTTACTTTCCTATGGTACGTTTTTTTCATGTAGAATTTGCTTATCTAATTAAAAGTATCCATTTCTAAAAAAAAATCAATTTCTTTGCATATCAATTCTGGATTTCTGAATTATGATTATTATTGCGTTATTTTGCATGAAAACTTACAATTTAAATAGTGAAAAATTGAGCAGTCCCTCCTGTGTAATTATGATGTGTTCTACCCATATGCATTTTTAATTTTAATTTTAGTTATTTTTTTGCATTTTGTTTATTAGTATGCATTTCAAGTTAAAGTCTATGAGGACAGGATTCCCCCGAAATGAAGATTTGCCTGCTTATGGAAGAGGCCCCTTGGGAATAATGCCACCAAGGATCTTCAGAGCAATTATACCAGTGGCCTCAGCTAATCCTGCGGGGATCCCTGGAGCTGGGAAGGCTACTTATAGTTGTTTTGAGTTGAGGCAGGGAGGCATGGACCAGTCATTGCATGTGGGCACCCCTATGGAGGGCACATGACCTTGAATGAGGTGGCTGTCCTCAGCCAATGGCATCACTGGGAGGGGACTCATCTTTGAGGTCTTGGTTAGGGGAACAAGCACCCCAGTTCTTAGGAGGCAGGGGATCTGGCTGGAGTGGCACAGCATCTTCCCCGGGTACCCTCTCTAGCTTGATCACTGCTGTGTTCTCTACGCCTAGTTGCACCTGGCACATGATAGGTACTCAGGAAGTCTTTGGTGAGTGAATGAAAGGCACAGAAGAACAGAAACCCAGATTTCTGGGTCTTGGGCCAGGCCAACTGGATCTTAATGTAGGGGTGTGGGGGCGGGGGGAGAACCCTGGGCAGGTGTGATCAGGGTCCTTTCTTCAGATGCTTCTGTCCTGCTGGGTGTTCTAGAGGGCCCCTTTGGCTCACTGGTTGGTGCTGGTGAAGGCTTGGATGTGGCTGGGCTAGGCTGGGCAAGGAGGGGGCCCTCAATGGAACTCTAGGCACCTTGACTACTCTATGATGCACATCACCCACATGAGCTTTCTGTTTTGTTTGTATGTTTTAATTTCTTTCTAGCATTCCTTGAAGAAAAGAGGAACCCGCTCCCTGGGGAAGACAGACAAGAAGCCTTCGGTGCAGGTATTTCCTGATGGTCCCCATGGCCCCCAGGGTAGCCCCCACAGGCAGGTTTGAATCTGAAGAGCCGAGGCCTAACTCCAAGTGGCCTGGGGGGTCCCTGGAGGTACCCACTCTTCCCCAGCCTCAACCCCACCCTCCTCTTTCATTTTCTTAGCTTTGTTACTCACCTCACTTCCCAAAACCATGCCTGGAGCCCATGGTTCCCATCCTGGAAGATAAAGTGCTATATATAGATGTAGCACAGGTCAGGCATAGAGTGCAGTTAGCCTCAAGTGGTCCTGGATTGTCAGGGTGCCAGGCACTTCTTGTGCATTATTTCATTTAATCTTCCCTATGGCTCTATGAGGAAGTGATTTTATTGCACCGTTTTACAAATGAGGAAACCCTAGTAGGAATGGAAGTAGTAGTAGCAGCAACAGTTGCCTGGCAGGATATCACCTACTCTAGAAAGCCCGCCTGGACTTCCCAGGCTGTACTATGCTCCATCTTTGCTGAATGTCAAGGAGGTCTCCTTCTCTGCTTCCCCTGCTCCTTGAGAGTCAGAGCCTAGTCGGATTCATTGCCCTACCCCCAGCACATAGTTACTGCTCTCCAAAATGCTGTGGCTGGTACTGAGCCTTGCGATGCTAACCTTCCTGGGTCATGTCTGTCTCTGTGCCCATCGGGCCCCAGGAGGACAGTGCAGACCTGAAGTGCCAGCTGCACTTTGCAAAGGAGGAGTCAGCCCTCATGTGCAAGAAGCTTACCAAGCTCGCCAAGGAGAATGACAGCATGAAAGAGGAGCTGCTCAAGTACCGCTCCCTCTACGGTGACCTGGACAGCGCTCTGTCCGCTGAGGAGCTGGCCGATGCGCCTCACTCTCGGGAGACCGAGCTGAAGGTACATCTGAAGCTGGTGGAGGAGGAAGCTAACCTGTTGAGCCGCCGCATCGTGGAGCTGGAGGTAGAAAACCGAGGCCTGCGGGCAGAGATGGACGACATGAAGGATCACGGCTGTGGCTGCAGAGGTGCGGAGGCTCGCCTGGCCTTCTCTACGCTGGGTGGCAGTGAGTGCGGGGAGAGCCTGGCGGAGCTGCGGCGACACTTGCAGTTTGTGGAGGAGGAGGCTGAGCTGCTCCGACGCTCCTCGGCAGAGCTGGAGGACCAGAACAAGCTGCTGCTGACCGAGCTGGCCAAGTACCGCTCAGAGCACGAGCTGGACGTGACGCTGTCGGAAGACAGCTGCTCTGTGCTCAGTGAGCCCTCGCAGGAGGAGCTGGCGGCTGCCAAGCTGCAGATTGGGGAGCTCAGTGGTAAGGTCAAGAAGCTGCAGTATGAGAACCGGGTGCTGCTCTCCAACCTCCAGCGCTGTGATCTTGCCTCCTGCCAGAGCACACGGCCGATGCTGGAGACGGACGCCGAGGCTGGGGACTCTGCCCAGTGTGTGCCCGCTGCTCTCGGCGAGGCCCACGGCCCCCACGCTGCCCGGCTCTGCAGAGCCAGGGAGGCCGAAGCGCTGCCTGGGCTGAGGGAGCAGGCCGCCCTGGTGAGCAAGGCCATCGATGTCCTGGTGGCCGATGCCAACGGCTTCTCGGCTGGCCTCCGCCTGTATCTGGACAATGAGTGTGCTGACTTTCGGCTACATGAGGCCCCTGACAACAGCGAGGGTCCCAGGGACACCAAGCTCATCCATGCCATCCTGATGCGGCTGAGCATGCTCCAGCAGGAGCTCAATGCCTTCACACGGAAGGCAGACAGCGTCCTTGGGAGCTCTGCCAAGGAGCAACCGGAGCCCTTCTCAACGCTGCCTGCCTTGGGCTCTCAGGGGCCCTCCAAGGAGATTCTTTTGGCCAAAGACCTTGGCTCAGACTTCCAGGTAAGATGTCCCAGTCACGGGCCCTATTCCTTTTTTTGTTAGAAACTTTGTACTGAAACCTACATAGGACAGAGAGGCATACCACGCACAAGTGTACAGCTCAATGAATTTTCCGAAGGGGAACACTGGTGTAATCATCACCCAGAACGAGAACTAGAACATGACCAGCACCCCAGGAGCCCCTCCTCATGTCTCCTGTAGCCACTATCCCCATCAAGAGAGATCATCAAGAGGGTAACCCCTCTCTTGATGCACTTTTATCCATCTTCGAAGTTTCTATAAACTGAATCATACAGCACACACTCTCCTGGGCCCAGCTTCTTTCACTCGCTGTTGTCTCACATAGCCATACTGTGTTCATTTCCATTATTGGATATGATTTAATTAGTAAATATGCCACAATTCACTTAGTAATTTACTATTGTTACATAGAGGGGTGATGTAAAAAAGGGACAAGAGGGAGGAAAAGGCCTTTTTTTTTTGGCCAGGTGCTCTTTATTCTTGTTTCTTTTGCAATTTTGATTTTAAAACACGTATTATTGAAAAAAAAAAAAAAAAGGATCCAGTCAGGTCTTAGGCAAAGGCAAGAAACGTGGCTTCCTAAAGGAATTAACTTCCAGGCTTAATGTCTATAAAATACAACTTAGAAAAACTAAAATAGCAGATGTACTTGTCTTCCCCCTAAAAAAAGCATCCTTGCAATAAGTAATCCATAGCATTCAAGCAGTTTCAGATGTGCCTGATAAAAAGGAGAGAGCCTCCTCCTTGCTGCTTCTTACTGTCTGCTGGTACCACTATTAGTAGTCTGGAGCAGGGCTGTCCAGTACAGAAGCCAATAGCCAGATGTGGCTACTTACATTTCAATCAGTAAAAATGACATGCAGTTGAAATTTCAGCGCTTTGGTCCCAGTAGGCACATGTCAAGTGCTCAGTGGCTGTGTGTGTCAAGTGGGTCAGACCCAGACCATGTCATCATAGCGTGTCCTTTTAAGTCTTACTGTATGTATCCTCTCATGTACTTGTTTTTCACCCAAGTTATTTTATGTGATAAGTCCTGTGGCCACACAACTGATTTTTCTTGTGTAATGTATCTAGTGGTTCATGTGCTTATGCTGCTATCTTTAATGCTCATATACTTTTTGTGTCAGTGCTGGAGGTACCATGGTAAGCAAAAACAGACCTGATTCTTGCCTCACCCCGCCCCCTGTCATCTAGTGGGGAAGAAAGATGTTAATCAAAATATCAGGCCACTGAATGTGAAATGACAGATATGAGGGCTCTCAAGAAAGGGCACTTGGTTCTGGGAACAAGGAAAATGATCTAGACTCCACGCCAGGGAAGGCCTCTGATCTGAGCTGAGAACAGCAGGGTCAATTAGCAGGGAAAGAGTGTTCTAAGCAGAGGGAGCGGTCTGTGTGAAGGCAGCATAACCGGCAGGAGCATGGCTGAGTTGCAGGGAGCATATTCCTCCTGAGAGCAGTGTAAGGGATCTTCCCATGTCTGTAGAGAGAGTTAGCTCTTTCTTTTCGATAACTACACGGTGTATCGTGCCATAATATCTTTAGTCTGTGCCCTGTTGATCTGGCTTGATTTTTCTTGCTTTTTTAAGCAAGCAGACTCCTCCCATGTTAGGTGTCCCCCTTGGTTCTTCTTGAGGTAGGAATGAGCTGGGGCTGCACGTATGGTAGGACAGTTGAGGCTGGCTCGGAAGGTTTGTGTGCAAGGCAGACATTCACCAGATCAGGGTTTGCACTCACCACTTAGCTACTCATTCATCCTTTGGACAGAGATTCACCAAGTAGTTGTAGGGCTGGATTTGGGCTGCAGAGCTGAATCCACTGAGGCCCCAGCCCTCAGGTGGCTGGTCAGAGCCTTTTGTAGAGACCAGAGCCCTGGGGCTGGAGGGTTGGCTGCTTCTGGCACCCGTTGAGCCCCTCCTCATTATTACCTTTCATCTCTTCTGCCTATGGCTCTGGGTGCAGCCGCCTGACTTCAGGGATCTGCCGGAATGGGAACCCAGGATACGAGAGCCCTTCCGTGGTGGTGACTTGGACTCCAAGCCTGACCCCAGCCGGAACTTCAGGCCTTACAGAGCTGAAGACAATGATTCCTATGCCTCTGAGGTGGGTTTAGGCTTGATCAAGCAAGGGGAAGGGCAGGAGGAGAGTGACTGGGGCCTCCCAGAGGCTGGGTGATCTGTGGAGAAACTTAGCTGATGATGATACGGACTTTGAGTATTCTGTTTCGTTCCCTGCTTCCTGGCAGCAAGGGCTAAAAGGGAGACAAGGACGTTTGAGCCATTCTCTCAGCCTGATAAAAGGAAGCTTATAAACTCATTTGAAGAGATGGATTTTGCTTTGCTATACTAAATTTCACTGGGAGTTGAATAATTTATGTCATTTAATGAAACCATTTCTTTAGCAGGAGGGCAGCAGTCAGGCTGACAGGGTTCAGATTGTGGATCTGCTACGTACTGGCTGTGAGATTGTAGACAAGTCACTTTACCTCTCTTATCTCAGTTTTCTTACCTTTACAATAAAGGTGATCCCTCAGAGGGCTGTTGAAAGGATTAAATGCATGAAAAGCCTTGTTAAAACCTGGTCCCCTTTGGGTGAGGAGGAGGAGGAGGGGGATGACGCATCTCAGGGCCTCAGGGCACCCATCACTGTGGCTTTGTGGCCTTGGGCATGTTCCCCTTCTCTGGCTGCATCTTCCCCCATTTGTAACATGGGAGAATTCAAGTGGGTGGTGGCTGTAGAATTTCTCGGATTCCCTGGTCCTTGAGGAATTCCTGGTGGTTCTGAGTCCCTCCCAAGCGTTCTAAGTCTCTGTTAGCACTTCATAAATGAACCTGAAGTAGGAAAAGGCTCATGTGGATTGGGACGGAACTTACCCAGGGACTCCTGAGACATGGAGAACCTTGTGTGTGCCCTAACCTAAGCACCACTTTCTTCTGAACATCCATGAGAAGGCAATTTTGTGGTCCCAGGAAGGCCAGTCTGTAAGTATCCAGGGGGAGAATATCCCTTGATAGATCAAACTCTCTAAGTCCAAGCTTCCTAGCAGCCATGGCATAAAGGGGAAAAAACAAAACAAAACAAAACAAAACACAACATGAGATACTTAGGTCTCATTTTCCGAGAAAAGGAAATAGGCCAGCTTACCTGCATGCATTCAGTTATTGTTTCATTCAGCCACTCTTTACTGAGCAGTTGCATTTGCCAGGTTCTGTGTTAGGCACTGAGTTCAAGAAGAACACCAGAGACAGCAGGTAGTATCCAGCCCTGCAAGGATCTTTAATATAAAATAAGCATACAAGATAGACCTTAAGTCAGAGTACCTGCCATTGCTAAGTTTCCATGTTATTGGTCAGATAATATGTGGGTTCTTTTTTTTTTTTTTTTTCACAGAGGGACATCTTGCCATGCCTGGGAAGGTTTTATGTAGGAGTGGCAGATGACATTTCCTTTTTTTTTTTCCTGCTTAACATGACAGCATAAAAATTTCTCTGTGTTGCCAGAAATACTTAAAAATTTTTTTTGTAAATTGAAGTATATAAACACACAGAGAAAAGCGCTTGTCTTGTAAGTGGACAGTTCAAACAACCTTCACAAACTGAACACTCCTCTGTCATCAGCGAGCACATTAGTAAACAGAGCATTTGACCTGTCCTTAAAGCTTCCCTTCTGGTCCCCATCTAGTCATCATCCTGACATCTAACAGGATAGATGTCTAACAGAACATTGCCTAAATGTTGTCTAAACAGAACATGTACTTAGCTACACATGCTTATAAATACAATTACCCCTCAAAATGTAGAGTTTTACTGTCTTTCTCTTAGGATTTTATTATATAGTCATTATAAGCAACATGTAAGTACAGCAAAGCCCCTAAGCAGCATTGCATAAAGATATGAAGAGGCAAGTTAAGATCAAATTAACCACCGTTCACATTTAAGTGTATGTGTCCATGTCCTTCCTGTTTTTCTATTGAAGGATAATTTATTTATTTATTTATTTATTTATTTATTTATTTATTTATTTAAGATTTTATTTGTTTATTCATGAGAGACCCAGAGAGAGAGGCAGAGACATAGGCTGAGGGAGAAGCAGGTTCCCTGTGGGGAGTCTGAGGTGGGACTCAATCCCAGGACTCTGGGATCACAACCTGAGTGAAAGGCAGATGTTCAACCACTGAGCTACCCAGGTGTCCTTCTTTTATTTATTTTTTTATTGAAGCATAATATAATAAGATATGTGCAATGAGGGACACTACCCTTAAGTGTACAGTTGAATAGACTTTTACATATGTATAGACTTATTAACCACACATATTAATGCCTTTATTTATCCATGGCGTTTCTAAAATTTTGAAGTGATAAACAATGAGACAAGGAACATCTTTGTGAATCAACCTTAGTTTTCTCTTTCTTACATTTTCTTCAAATGTATTTCAAAGAGAGAAAGTATCCAGGCGACATTATAATAATAGCTAGATTTGATGTGCACAATTTTAATTGTCATAACAACTTCCTGAAGTAGGGTCAGCCAGTGTGCCTGATTTGTACTCCAAGGATAGCTTGGAACCCCCCTCTACTCTTGTCCTCTGACCACGGCTCTGTCCCCCTCCTGTTCTCCCCCTCTGTCTGTGTCCCTCACCCCTATCCCAGATCAAGGAGCTGCAGCTCGTGCTGGCAGAGGCTCATGACAGCCTCCGGGGCCTGCAAGAGCAGCTCTCCCAGGAGCGGCAGCTACGCAAGGAGGAGGCCGACAACTTCAACCAGAAGATGGGCCAGGTGGGTAGTGCCCTGTGTCCCCCCACCCTCACCCTAGCACCGACTCTGTCTTCTCTTCCTTGAACTGAAGGCAGACACCTTAGGGTTCCACGAGGCTTCAGAAGCTAAGGGCATCGGGAAACATGAGTCTTTTGGCCCTCCCTGTACTTGATTGTGCATTAACTTGGACTGGAATCTTGGGGTGGTCATTGACTGCCTGTTTGACCTCAGGCCAATCCTGTCTCCTCTCTGGGCCTCAGATTCCCAACCATGACATATTGCCCCCATCAGAGCTCAAAACCTGTACCAGAAAGGGCCATAGGTCTGGCCACTAATCAAAGTTCTGCTTTGATAGTTCTGCTAATAGAAAGCATGTACGAAGCCCTTCCTGTATGTCAGGGCTGTGCAATGCTCTTTTCACACATTATGTCCTTTAGTTCTCAGGATTTCACCTGTGAGGTGTCCCCATTTCATAGATGGGGAGACTGATGCCTAGGGAGCTGAAGCATTTTTCCTAGGCTGCACATCCAAGTCTCTGCTAAGTCCTGACATTGCATTATTTCCTAGGGATTGGCATAGTCTCTCTCCCAGCATGTACTTTGTACTCCATATGGGTCACCCCTTCCTGCCTTCATTGCTCACCATCCCAGGTTCCTTATCAGATGTGAGAGTTGTTGTGAACTCTCTTTGGCAGCCAGTATTTGCTCATTAAGTGATGTCATGGTTTTTATAGTGAGGCAGAGCCGGGTTCAAATCCTACTCTCAATGATCCATAATTGTGATTGCTGCTGCTTTGATGAACTTCTCTTCCCTGGAGTTTATCTCAACAGAATGAGCTGATATTGGTAGAGTCCCTGGCAGGGATCACCAACAGCCACCTCCCAAACTTTCTTGTCTTTTATCTGAGGCCTGGAATGGCAAGGGGTAGTGCTGGGAAGGTAGCGGGGTGGGGTGTGCTCACTCACTCTCTTTTCTCCCTCCCAGCTGAAGGAGGACCAGCAGAGGGCGCTCCTGAGGCGAGAGTTTGAGCTGCAGAGTCTGAGCCTCCAGCGGAGGCTGGAGCAGAAATTCTGGAGCCAGGAGAAGAACATGCTGGTGCAGGAGTCCCAACAGTTCAAACACAACTTCTTGCTGCTTTTCATGAAGCTCAGGTGGTTCCTCAAGCGTTGGCGGCAGGGCAAGATTTTGCCCAGCGAGGGGGATGACTTCCTTGAGGTATGGTTCCCCTGGTACCAGGACTAGGGCAGGGGGGTAGGGCGGAGAAGATAGAACTAGAGGGACACCTAGCTGGCATTGACATAGCGCTGAGGCTCATCTCCAAGCCATCAGCTTGCAGGCTTCCATCCCTGCATTCATTCACTTGTTCAGCATCTACTTGTTGAGAACCAGCTCTTTACTGGGCGCTGTGGCAGGTGCTGGGGATACTATGGTGAAGACAGACTTGGTCCTGCCTCACCAGGGGAAAGTCTCTTTGGGGGCTGATAGGTCTTTAACACCTCTCTAATACTTGTTCATTTCCCTTCGTAATGAACCTCAGAGTCCTCAGCAGGCAATGGTGTCTAGGTAAATTTAATAATCTAGTTTTGTTAATTCTATATTATATGCTGATAGAGTAGAGTATATACTGCTTGTAACTCTTTTAAAGTATACATTGCATATAATAAAGTGCACACATCCTAAGTGTACAGCTGATGAAGTTTTGTCACATACATCTGTATAGTCCCCAACCCAGATCACAACAGAGCACATTTCCAGTGACCCCAAAGGATCCCTACTATTCCAGTCAATATGCCTACCCCAGCTGTCAGCACTATTCTGATTTCTTTTGCCATGGGTTATTTTGCCTAATCTAAAACTTCATATAAGTGCATGTAGTCTTTAGTACCTGGCTTTGTTTGCTCAATATAATTTTTTGAGATTCACCAAATTTTATAGAAGTAGTTTTTGTTGCTTTTTGGTGGCTCATAGGGGGAACAATCCAGTACATTTTTTATTGCTGCTTATTTTTGACTTATGAATATACTATTTAATTTTACTTAATTCATTAATTTAAGTAGGCTCCACACCCAGCATGGAGCCCAGCATAGAGCCCAAATGCAGGACTAGAACTCGCAACCCTGAGATTAAGACCTGAGCTGAGATCAAGAATCAGATGCATAATGTACTGAGTAGCCCAGGTGCCCCCCCATTTTAACCATTTTTAAGTTTACAGTACATTAGTGTATATTAGGTATATTCACAGTGCTATGCAACCATCACCATTATCCATCTTCAGAACTCTTTTCATTTTGCACAGCTGAAACCTTGTACCCCTTAGAAAATTCCCTATGACCACCTACCCTGGTTCCTGGCAGCCACCATTCTATTTTCTGCCTCTGTGATTTTGTCCACTAAGTACCTAATATGAAAGGAATCATAGTATCTGTCTGTTTGTGGCTGGCTTAGTTCACATGTCCTCGAGCATCATGTCCTCAAGGTTCATCTATGTTGTAGCATGTTGCAGAATTTCCTTTCTTTTTAAGGTCGAATAATATTCCATTGTATATATGTATAAGCCACATTTGTTTTACACAGAAGTTGTATATACATAAGGGGTACACCTTAACATTTTGATACATGATAACCTCAATCAAGCTAATTAACATGTCCGTATCACTTCACATAGTTACATTTTCTTTCCTTCTTTCTTTTTCTTTGTTTTTGTTTTTTGGAGGAGAGGGGGAGAGAGTGTGTGTATGGGGGAGGAGGTAGAGGCAGAGGGAGAGAGAAATAGAGAATCTTTTTTTTTTTTTTTTAAGATTAATTTATTTAGGGACACCTGGGTGGCTCAGTGGTTGAGTGTCTGCCTTTGGCTCAGGGCATGATCCCAAGATACTGGGATTGAGTCCTGCGTTGGGGGAGCCTGCTTCTCCCTCTGCCTATGTCTCTGCCTCTTTGTCTGTTGTCTCTCTTTTTAAAATATTTTATTTATTTATTCATGAGAGAGTACACATGCTCACATTGAGAGAGCGCAAAAGAGCTAATGAGGAGAGAGACAGAGGGGGAGAGAATCTTAAGCCAGACTTCCTGCTAAGCCCAGAGCCTGACACTGGGCTCAATATCATGACCCATGAAATCCTGAGTCAGATGCTGAACCTACTGAGCCACCCAAGTACCCTGAGAGAGAGAATCGTAAGCATACTCCATGCCCAGCACAGGGTCTGACATGGGGCTAGATCTCATGACCCTGAGATCATGACCTGATCTGAAATCAAGTGTCATATGCTTAACTAACTAAGCCACCCAGGTGCCCCTCTTTTTTTTTTTTTTTAATAATACAAGTACTTAGGTCTACTCTCAGCAAATTTCTTTTGTGTGTGGGTGTGTGCAGTTTTTAAATTTTTTTTAAGGTTTAATTTATTCATGAGAGACACAGAAAGAGAGGCAGAGACACAGGTAGAGAGAGAAGCAGGCTCCATGCAGGGAGCCTGATGTGGGACTTGATCCTGGTACTCCAGGATCATGCCCTGGACTGAAGGAAGGCACTTAACTGCTGAGCCACCCAGGCATCCCAACTCTCAGCAAATTTCAATTATACAATACAGTATTGTTAACTATAGTCACCATGTTGTACGTAGATCTCCAGAACTTATTCATCCTGCATAACTGAAACTTTGTACTCTTTGACCAACATCTCCCTATCACCCCCACCCCCACCCCTCCTCCCTGCCCTTGGCAACCACTGTTCTGCTCACTTCTTTTATGAGTTTGGCTTTTTTTTCCATTCCACATACAAGCTCACTGCTTGTATGAGTTTGACTTTTTTTCCATTCTACATGTAAATGAGATCTTGCAGTATTTATATTTCTGTATCTGGCTTATTTCACTTAGCATAATGTCTACTAGGTCCATCCATGTTATCAAAAATGGCAGGATTTTCTTCTTCTTTTTCTTTTTTTTTTTTATTTTATTTATTTATTCATGAGAGATACAGAGAGAGAGGCAGAGACATAGACAGAGGGACAGGCAGGCGCCCTCTGGGGAGCTGAGGCAGGACTTGATCCGAGGACCCTAGGATTAACGCCCAGAGCCAAAGGCAGATACTCAACCACTGAGCTACCCAGATGTCCCAGATTTTCTTCTTTTTTATGACTGATAATATTCTATGGTATTGTATATACGTACACCACATTTTTTTTAAAGACTTTATTTATTTATTCATGAGAAACACAGACAGAGGCAGAGACATAGGCAGAGGGAGAAGCAGACTCCCCATGGTGAGCCTGATGTAGGACTCAATCCCAGGACCCTGTGATCATGCCCTTAGCTAAAGACAGACACTCAACCACTGAGCCATCCAGGCATCCCATACACCACATTTTCTTTATCCATTCATTTGTGAACGCTTAGGTCGTTTCTATATCTTGGCTTTGTGAATAATGCTGCAGTGAATATGGGCCTGCAGATAGCTCCTTAAGATTCAGATTTCATTTCCTTTGGATATGTACCCAGAAGTGGGATTGCTGGTTCACATGGTAGTTCTATTTTTAATATTTTGGGGAACCACCATATTGATTTTTTTAACCACCATATTGATTTTCCAGGAAGCCAGTTTTGGCTTCTGAGTTGGATATTCTCCTACCCCCTCCGAAGTGAATTGGAGACCACATAATCTATATTTTTAAGTCCGTTTGTCTCAGGCAAATCCTCCATATTTGGTATAAACCTTTCTAGATATTTCCATGTACTTGAGCAACAAAGAGAAAAAGAAACTACTTTAGAAAAAAAAAAGATAAGGGGATCCCTATGTGGCTCAGTGGTTTAGTGCCTGCCTTCAGCCCAGGGCCTGATCCTGGAGTCCCGGGATTGAGTCCCACATCAGGCTCCCTGCATGGAGCCTGCTTCTCCCTCTGCCTGTGTCTCCGCCTCTCTCTCTCTCTCTCTCTCTTTCTCTCTCTCTCTCTCTCTCATGAATAAATAAATAAAATTTTTATTAAAAAAAAAGAAAAGTGTAGAAAATTAAATAATATATGTGTTTATAATTAATAGAAATATACATGTTTATTGAAATAGACATAATTAGATATTATGGGGTACCTGGGTGGCTCAGTCAGTAAAGCATCTGCCTTCAGCTCAGGTCATGATCTCAGGGTCCTGGGAATGAGCCCTGAATGGGGTTCCCTGGTCAGTGGGGAATCTGCTTGTCCCTCTCCCTCTGCTCCTTCCCCTACCCCCCACTTGTGCTCTCCCTCCTTCTCTCTCTCAAATCTTTAAAAAAAGATATAACCACATATATTGTCAAAACAGATACATACATTTGCATAAACATAATCTAAACAGATATAGCTATATAAATAATAAACTTAATATATATTCTTACTCTCAAAGAATATATGTGTCCACACATGCAAAATTGTATGTGTGAAATGACACTATACATGTGAATGATAAACCCTAGGCACTGAGTGTAGTGTTCTAGGTATTGTTTTAAATACTTCAGGTGGATTACTCCATTTCATCTTTATAAATATGCTATGATATGGAAATAATTATTATTCCCATTCTACTGCAGATAAAGATCTTTGATTACTTGCCTCAATCCTGAAATCTGGAAGCTCTAAACGAAATCTGTATTTGGTTGCATCTAACTCAGTTGGAAAAGGTTGGCCTGACATTCATTTGGCACAAAACCTTTATCCCATCTCATGTTAATATTCATATGTTTATAGGGGAAGCATGAGTGTGCTTGGCTTGAGCATAGAGTGGTACCCCAGACCTGTTGGGGCAGTTGTACAATATATAGTGTATGTACCATGTTGTCTTTCTAAAGCCCTGAGCATTCTGAATTCCAAGCACACCTGGACTCAAGGATTTCGGGGAAAGAATCATGCATCTGTGTATACAGACAACCAAGGTCTGTATGTTTGGATACTCATGACCAGGGACAGAATTGGGGTGTTAATTCAGGCAGGCCCTGCCCTGCCCCCTCCCCATATTTCCCAGCCTTGGTACCTGCCCTGACACTAGAAGCCCTTCATTTGGTTTCTAGGACATCACACTCTCTTGGGTTTCCTTCCACCTCACTGGTTGCTCCTTCTTGATCTCTTTGGCTGGACCCTCCTTTTCTCCCTGACCTTCCTTAACATCAGAGTCTCCCAGACTCAGCCCTTGGGCCACGTCTCTCCCTTACCTACACCTGCTCCCTCGGGAGCTTATCCCGAGGATAGGCTGACTTAAATATGACTTAAATGGCCTTTCTTGCACATTGTGAATCTATCCAGAATCTATCTAGAGTCTGACCTAGCCACTCTGCCATCCCTCCTGGCTGAGCCACCATCACTCATTCCCTGGATTTTCACTACAGCCTCTTACTGGTCTCTTTTCTCTATCCTTGCACCCTTCCACCAAGCATTTTGCATTTCAGAAGGGTATGGGGAAGTACCCCAGGTGGCATAGGCTCCACGTGGATGGCATCCTCCGAAATTTTCTGATGGAGGTTCTGTTGCTGCCCAGTAGGCTCAGCAGCTGCAGTGATCTCATGAAACCAAAAGTCAGGTGGGGATCACTTCTCAGCTCACAGTCCTCCCCTGGCTCCCATTTCACCTAGAGCAGAAGCCAGAGTCCCTACAAGTCCTGAGCCTGGTCCACTAGGCTTGTTCCCCGTACCTCTCTCACTTTCTCCTTGGCTCTCTTGCTTCCCTCAAACAGACATGTTCCCACCTCAGGACCTTTGCATTTGCTGTGCCCTTTCCCTGGAATTCTCGACCTGCAGTTCACATTATTTAGTCTCTCACCTCTTTCAGGGCTTTGCCCAAATATCAGCATCTTTCTGAGGCACTCCTTGACTAGCTAGCCACATGCAGCACACCCCAGCTCCTTTGCTTGCTTTTCTCCTTGACACTTCACTGTGTGATGTTCCAAATATTTAATGCTGTTTCATACATTTCACTTATTTGTATGTTTTCCCGCTACTGGAATGGAAGCTAAAGGGGACAAGGGTTTTTGTCTGTCTTGCTCCCTGGCTTATCCCCAGCTCCGAACATAGGGCCTGGTGCATGGTAGGTTTTCAGTAAATATTTTTTGAGTGAATGATGGATAGGCACTCCAGTCAGAACCTGGCTTCTTTCTGCTTCATTCTCATCCTGGTTTCCTTGGGTGGCTCTGGACTTCTACCCAGAATCCATCAGCAGCAAACCCCCTCCCAGGAAAGTTCTCTCTGTCCACCCAAACTTTTGGTTGCCTTTTCTATAATTATGGGGGCCCCTGTGGGCCTTTTATTCCATCCACAGGGCCTACCTGTTGACCTCATCTGGCAACATGGTTATTTCTGAGTAGCTCTCACGGATGCCTGATGGCCCTTGGGACAGAGGTGGCATTGGAGGAGAGAGGGGCCTGCCTTCCCAGCTGTACTCCTAGGCCTAGATGGTGCCTAGGAGCCCAAGTTAAAATCTGGGAAATCAGTGTCAAACTAGAGTACCGTTGGTCCATCCTGGACCATAAATCCCTCTTTTTTCTTTCTGCCCGGATGTGTCATACCCTTTCCATCTGGGCCACTAGCCTCAATCCCCTTTCCTGATGCTCAGACTCCAGGCATGACACCCTTCCAGTCCCTATTGAATGTGGCTTTTTAAAAATAGGTAAATAGCATGAAGGAGCTGTACCTGCTAATGGAGGAAGAAGAATTAAATGCCCAGCATTCAGATAACAAGACCTGCACGGGGGACAGTTGGACCCAAAATACGGTGCGTTCCCAGTCCTGTCCTGCCCATGCTTCCTTTGTCTGTTTGATGATCACTTCCTTCCATCTTCTCTGACCTGTCTTGCATGGGGCACTGGAGCTGCAGATGGTTAATACCTGGTTACTGGCCCCAGATGCTTAGTGCTGTGGGGCTGATAAGTCATCTGGTGGCAGTGACAGCAGTTGGACTGTGGTCACATGCAAGAGAGCAGTTAATTCTGTCTAGAGTGTAGGGGACAGTGTCACAGTGAAGGGATAATAGGTGGAGGGTTTTGAAGGATGAATAGGAGCTTGCATAATAGAGAATGGGGCAAAGGCTCTTTTGGACCAAGGTAACTGTTTGCAGAGGTGTGGCAGGGTATTCTGGGATTGGCTATGGGTTGGGATGTACATAGTAGGGGTAAGGACATCAAGTTGGGGTCATATGAAGAGAGGCCTTGTGGTCTGGAGTTAGGAACCCTCAAATCAAGCCATGGGGCAGAAAGTGATGGGGTCAGGCTCCCAGGGTCATACACAGTTAGCTTGGGTAGGTAGGAAATAGGTCATGAGCCAAGGAGAGATGATGGGGCCTGAGTCAGCCTGTTACGGAGGCTGCATAGATAGCTTGGATTCACCCTGTGGCCCACGGTGGGTCAGAGAGACAGATCTTGGGCAAGGATAAAGACCCAGGGCCTAGGCTCTGCAGAAGCTCAAAGAAGTCCGGGCCCATCTCACATTTAGGCTGAATAATAATTGCTGTGACCTCAGGAGGTTTTATGTGAGGCTGGGGTACGTGTCAGCCTAGGAGGTGGCCAGGCCTGGGCTCAGCTCGGTGAGATGATCTGGGGAGATCATGGGGATTGCTCAAGACCAGACAGAGTACTGGGCTGGGCTCTGGGTAAATGCTCCCAGCCCAGGCTCCCCTTCCCACCCCTCCCAAGCTGCTGACCCAGGCTTTGCCCCCATCTGCAGCCCAATGAGTATATCAAGACACTGGCTGACATGAAGGTGACACTGAAGGAGCTGTGTTGGCTGCTTCGGGATGAGCGCCGTGGTCTGACTGAGCTCCAGCAGCAGTTTGCCAAGGCCAAGGCCACCTGGGAGACAGAACGGGCAGAGTTGAAGAGCCTTACTGCCCAGGTGAGTCCCTGACCTGTCAGAGACATTCCCCCCTTTTATTCCTCCCTCATCTAAGCCCTCAGGGGTGTTAGATCTGGGAGCACAATGCCCAAGCCATGCTTCTAAGAGGCATAGGAACCACCTCTTCACCTCCTCTTGTAGTCCAGAGAGGGCAAGAGATTTACCTTGAGTCACACAGCAAAGGTGCCAGAAACACTGGGGACTGGAAGTCACTGGGCCAAGAAAGGAAGGTGGAGGATTGACAAATGGGCATGGGACGTCATAGGCACTTCTGCTGCACCACCATGGGTTCACAGGTGAGGCCAGATGCTTAACTACCTGTCTGTACCTGGTCATATCCTTCACACGTGTAGCCAGACTTCTGTTGCCTGCTGTCCTCATTTACTCCCCCATCTCGTCATAAGGATCCCCTTCATCCCTTGCTACCTAGCTTTGTTTTACTCCCCTCCCCACAATCCAGTGTGACTGCAGGAGCCTTAACCAGGAGCCCTAGAGGTGTGGTCTCTGCTGTGTGCTAGGGGGCAAGTTGCTGCCTTCCTCTGGTCTGAAAAGTGAGAGGGCGGGTTTCTTCCCAAAGAAAACGCCCTGACCTTCTCCACCGCCACCACCTGCCATGACTCTTCAGGTCCCAGCTTCCTCCGAGCCTGCCCCTGTGGCAGGCTGCCTTTCTGGTCATCACGGGCTCCTTGGGGGTGGGTACACTGATAATCTCTGCTGGATGAGTAACAAAACCAGCACAGAAGGGTTAAGGTTCTTTACCAGGTTCTTACACTCAGCAAATAAGTGGCAGATTTGACCCTGGCTCCCCAAACTTCTGTCTCTCCGGGCTTCTCTCACTCACTATGATCTCAACCTTCTTCCCAGTGCGCACAGACTTCTGGCTTCCCTGTGCCACCCTTCTTTCCTCTCACCGTCCCTGTAGAGCTCATAGCTCCTGCCCCATCTGCACATTTCTTCCTGACCCCCAAACCGAGCCATTCTAGATGCCCCTACCCACTGGGAAGCTGACCGGCCCGTATGGGGTTCCACATACCAAACCACAGCCTGGGAAGGTACACTGAGGCTTGAGGCTTTGTGTTTACCTCCTGCCACCCCGAGGCTTGGTGCCGTGAAAGCCATCACACTGGATTCATTCCTGCACACATTCATTGTGTGACTGTGGGCACATGTCCCCCGCTAACCATAAACCCAGACCACTTGTAAGAGTTGTTAGAGTATGAGAAGCGGTAACTAGGAAACTGCCATTTTGTAGCTATGTGACCTGGGACAAATAACCTCTTTGAACCTCTTTCTCTTCCCTAAAATATCGAGAAAAGCAGTTGTCTTGCTGAAATTTCGTGAGGATACCGAGATAATGCTTGAGAAGCCCTTAGCATGGAGCTTGGCAAGTGAAACGAGCTCCATGCAACCCCCAATTTGAGGAGGGCTTAGTTCTGCATGGGATGGTCAGCAGGTGGGGGTTCTTCAGAGGAGAGCTCTCCCCCACCGCCCCCTGCTGGTGCCTGAGAGTGAAGGAGGGTGGACAGGGAGCCAGAGAGGAAGGGTCTCCTGGTGCCAGCCACCCAGTTTGCTCTTCCTTCTGCTGCAGGTGGAGCTAAAGACTGGCAAAGGGGCTGGGGAGCGGGCAGGGCCTGACTGGAAGGCAGCCCTACAGAGGGAGCGTGAGGAGCAGCAGCACCTGCTGGCTGAGTCTTACAGCGCTGTCATGGAGCTGACACGGCAGCTACAGATCAGCGAGCGCAACTGGAGCCAGGAAAAGCTGCAGCTGGTGGAGAGGCTTCAGGGTGAGAAGCAGCAGGTGGAGCAGCAGGTGAAGGAGCTGCAGAACCGTCTGAGCCAGGTGAGGCCTGCTCCAGCCACAATGGGGACTCATTGTGGGATAAGTCCGGGGCTGGGATCTCCTCCAGTTATAGCTGGATCCAGGTGCTCAGAGAAGGCAATAGGTGCTACATCTGCCTCTCTGCCAATCTCTCAGGCTTGCTCTCCTCTGTGCTTTATTCATAAGCCAAAGCTGTCTTCAAATATGGTCACTGTTTTGTGCTCATATCATCCCAGCTTAGCAATGGTAATAGAGAGTTTTCCTTTTCCACAAGGCTGATTGGCCAGTTGTAAGTCATGTGCCTACCCCTAGAGCTAGCAAAGCCCGAAAATTTGGGAAAATTAGAGTCCTTTGAGGACCAAAAGAGGGGGGAATAGGAAAAAAAACATCATTGACCGTTACACCCTACTACACATCATACACCCAGCTGCCATTTACCAAGCTGCTGTATGCCACTCTTTTTGACTTTTTCCTTCATTTTACTTTTTATTTAAATTATATAAATCAAGACTTCATCTTTATATGAGACCCAAATATTGCAAAAACATACTTTAACCCATTCCTCCCTTTCTTGCTGCTTAATTTTATATTCAGAGATTCCTTTTTTTTTTTTTTAAGATTTTATTTATTTATTCATGACAGACACAGAGAGAGAGAGAGGCAGAGACACAGGTAGAGGGAGAAGCAGGCTCCATGCAGGGAGCCTGATGTGGGACTCAATCCCAGGTCTCCAGGATCACACCCCGGGCTGAAGGCAGCACTAAACCGCTGGGCCACTGGGGCTCCCCAGATTCCCTTTTTTTAAGTCAATCATGTTATCATAAAATATATATTGTTTATACTTATTTGCCTCTTTCATAGAGAGCTGTTCACGACTAGAGGCTGGTCACGTTCCATCTAATATACTCATTCCTAGTACGGAGCCCAGACTTTCATGTGATTCAGCTGCTGCTTAGCTGACCTAGCCCATCCAGGAATTGTAGCATGAAGTAACATAGTTGTGACAGCGGTTGTTGTAGCACATAGAATGGCATCTATAAGGATGCCTGTAAGTGGTTGCTTTCATCAAATCCATCTTTTGGTGGCTCAGAGCTGCTGCCCAAGGGAAAATGGCTCTTAGTCCATGACTGGGTCATCCGTGCTCTGAGCAGAACCTGGGAAGTGGCCTTGCACAGACCAAGGCCCACTCATCAGCCATGCCTGCCATTGACCATCATCTTTACCCTTGCCCAGCTGCAGAAGGCCGCTGAACCCTGGATCCTGAAGCACTCAGACCTGGAGAAACAGGACAACAGTTGGAAAGAGGTGAGTAGGGTAACAGGCCATCATGTGCTCTTGGCTCCTGGCTGCTCTGCAAAGTCCCTCACTTGCGGGGGTGTGACAGGGAGGAGGCTAACTCTGTCCCACCAATCACACCCTTGCATTTTGGGCTTCTCAATCCTGGGATCTCTACCCCATTGTTTCAGCAGATGGTTGAGGACTTGTGAGGAGTCCTCTGCCAGCCCCATCCTTCCGTGTCTGGAGAGAGGCTGGGTGTCTGTGTTCCTGGCCAGGTGCTTGCCCTCTCTTGGTTTCAACTGTGCCTTTCAGAAAAGCAAGGCCTCTGAGTAGCTGTGTGATCCTGAATGAGTCACTCTCTCCCTCTCTGGGCTCCAGTTATGTCAGTGGTAAAATGAAAATCCCATTTTCTGCTGAATCTTGAGGTCACTGCGGTCACCACCAGCAGAACAGTGGCCACTGGGTGCTTGGTTGCTGTCACCACATTCAGAATAACTTCTAAAAAGACTCTTTCCTTGGGGTTCTCTCTTGGAGCTCTGATTGGCCAAGCCTGGATCACATACCTATGTGAGTGTTAGGCCCACTTGTAGCCAGAAACTGACCAATGGGCATTGTAGATCTGTGTGGACATCAGTCCTGCTTACAAGAGGCAATCCAGGGTCAGCTCTTGCACTGACCTCCTGTCAACTTCCCTTGGTGTGCTGGTGGCCAGAACTCACCCTTCCTGCTTCTTTTCCTTGACAGACACGGAATGAGAAGATCCTTGACAAGGAGGCAGTTTCTGAAGCTGAACTTGGGGGCACTGCTTTAAAAAGGTACTGGCCTCCTCAGCCCCTGCCCTGCCCTGCAGTCCCTGCCATGGCCTGCCCTTCAGATTCCTCTCTCCACCCCACCCCTTTGCCTGTCTTCTTCCCCTGGCCTCATTATCCCACCATGGCACCTCAGCAGAGCTCGGAGAACCCTGGTATGTGTTTTCTGTAGAACTGAAGCCACTCAGGAGCCAGGAAGCATGGAACAATGAGAATTCCAGCCCTTGGTTTTTCTTGTTTGTTTGATTGTGGACATGCATGAAAACCTGGGGCTCCATATATCCTACATTTGAAAGAAACTGTTCAGCTCCTCCTGGGGTTCCTTCTCCCTGTATCTGGAGTTAGGGGAATCAGGGAAGGCTTCTGTTTCTGGAATTACTGAGCATCTTCCTCTGGGCCTGGCCCTGTTCTGTGACCCCAGGGCTGTCAGGGCCATGTCTCCACTGTTAGGAAACCCATGAGTAGAAGGAGGGCGACAAGACCCCATCAGAGCCATGAGCTCATCCTCAAGCCAGGCGGGCCTGGGGTAGGAGAGTGGGCTCTGGAGTCAGAGTGCGGGGTTTGAACTCCTACTCTGCCATTTCCAGTGATGTGACCTTGGCTGGTACTTCCCATCTCTCTCTAGGTGGGATAGTATAATAGAAGCTGTCTGCGAGAGTCACTAGAGGGCCGAATGATCTGGCCTATGAGGTGCACTTACATACATCTGGCACTTTTGGTCCTCAGGCAACACTTGTGCCAGGTCTGTGCCGGTGATTTAACGTCATCTTATTTGAGTTCCCCCAAAAGCAAACACAGGATTTGAGAACTTGTCTCAAAGATCCTACAACAAGGATCTGAGTACAAATGGTTTATTTGGGAAAGAATTTTAGGAAACGCTGGAAGTGACACAAAGGAGGGAATGCAGCCACTAAAGGGGGATGTTGTCATTTTGTGGACAACCAAAGTGCAGTTTCACTGAGGAACTCTGAGAGCCAGAGTGGAACATGCAACTCAGAGTTCTCCCACCTAAGGAATGAGGAGGCTGGGTACTGAGGTGCCCAATCCACCTGTTGTTTGTGAGGGCTTTGTCTAGGGGCAAAACTCTGATATTTGTAGCTTCCTCTGCATGGAGGCCAAGTGTACTCTTGCAGTCACAAAAAAGCCCTTAGGTGGAGAATGGCAGGTGTTCAGAGTGTGCTGTGTCAGATATGTAGGTGTGAGTGCTGAGGTGACATGGGGCAGGGCTCCAACAGCATCTCCCCCAGGAGGTGAGCAGGGTAGGTCATGGTTCTAGCCCTTGTGCAGTGCGTGGACTGGGGAGAATGACCAGAGTGCCTGTTCCCTCTCTGTTTTTTTCCACTAACACCACTCTTCCTCCCCTACTCCTCCCAGGACCAAATCCGTTTCCTCCATGTCTGAGTTTGAAAGTTTGCTGGACTGTTCCCCCTACCTTGCTGGTGAAGCTGCCCGGGGTAAGAAGCTGCCCAACAACCCTGCCTTTGCCTTTGTGGGCACCCAGCCAGTAGACCCTGAGAAAGATGCCCAGGAGCAGCCCAGCCTCTCACCGCGGGACTGCAACCGCCTGGGCACCCTGGGCTGCCAGGAGCCAGCAGGGAGGCAGATGCAGCGTAGCTACACGGCTCCCGACAAGACAGGCATCCGCGTGTACTACAGCCCCCCAGTGGCCCGGCGCCTGGGCGTCCCTGTGGTCCATGACCGGGAGGGCAAGATCATCATCGAGCCCGGCTTCCTCTTTACCACAGCCAAACCCAAGGAGTCGACCGAGGCCGACGGGCTGGCTGAGAGCTCCTACAGCCGGTGGCTCTGCAACTTCTCACGGCAGCGCTTAGATGCAGGCTCAGGGGGCAGCCCCTCTGCACCAGGGCCCAGCTTCCCAGCGGCCCTGCATGACTTTGAGATGTCGGGCAACATGAGCGACGACATGAAGGAGATAACTAACTGCGTACGCCAGGCCATGCGCTCAGGCTCACTGGAGAGGAAGGTGAAGAGCACATCTAGCCAGACCGTGGGCCTGGCCAGTGTGGGCACGCAGACCATCCGCACAGTCAGCGTGGGCCTGCAGACCGACCCACCCCGCAGCAGCCTCCACAGTAAGAGCTGGTCACCCCGCAGCTCCTCACTTGTGTCCGTGCGCAGCAAGCAGATCTCCTCCTCCCTGGACAAGGTGCACTCACGTATTGAGCGGCCCTGCTGCTCACCCAAGTATGGCTCGCCAAAGCTCCAGAGGCGGTCTGTGTCCAAGCTGGACAGCACCAAGGACCGCAGCCTATGGAACCTACACCAGGGCAAGCAGAATGGCTCGGCCTGGGCCCGCTCCACCACCACGAGGGATAGCCCCGTCCTGAGGAACATCAACGATGGGCTATCCAGCCTCTTCAGTGTGGTGGAGCACTCGGGGAGCACAGAGTCTGTCTGGAAACTGGGCATGTCTGAGGCTCGGGCCAAGCCCGAGCCTCCAAAATACGGCATTGTGCAGGAGTTCTTCCGCAATGTGTGTGGACGGGCACCAAGCCCCACCTCAGCGGCAGGGGAGGAGAGCACCAAGAAGCCGGAACCCCTGTCCCCAGCCAGCTACCATCAGCCAGAGGGTATGGCCAGGATCCTGAACAAGAAGGCAGCCAAGTCAGGTGGCAGTGAGGAGGCCAGACTCTCAGTGCTCCCCCAGGTGGGGAAGGATGGTGTCCCCCGGGATGGAGATGGAGCAACAGCCCTTCCCAACGAGGTAAGTGGTGGGGTCTACTCTTTTTCTTGGGGGTAAGGGTTGACTTATAAGGTCCAAACTCTTTTGGTTTTCAAATTCAGGAATATGGTTGTGTGTTTCAAAAAGTCCTTTTGGGGGCATCTGGTGGCTCAGATGGTTAGGGCATCTGCTTTCAGTTTGGGTTGTGATCCCAGGGTCCTGGGATTGAGCCCGGCATTGGTCTCCCTGTTCAGCGGGAAGTCTGCTTCTTCTCCCTCTTCCCCTCCTCCAACTTGTGCTCTCTCACTCTTTCTGTCTCACTCTCTGTCAAATAAATAAATAAAATCTTTAAAAAACAAAACCAAAAAACCCCAAAAAGTCCTGCTGGTCTGGAATGAGGGTTGGGGGATTGCTGACTGGCTCAGTCAGTAGAGCATGTGACTGTTATCCTTGGGGTAAGTCCAAGCCCCATGTTGGGCATAGAGTCCACTTATAAATAAATAGATAAATGGATAGATGGGTGGATGGATAGATGGACAGAATGGGGGTTAGAAGGCCCCAGATCTGGAACAACAGACCTGATGGACATCTGGTCTGAATACAAGGGGACTAGTGAACAAGGCTTAACTAGCTGCTTTGCCACCACATACCAGAGATTGCTAGCATCCCCTCCAGTGAAGCGGCATACTTTCTGCTCTCCTGCCACCATGGGTGTGCTGGAGCTAGCATGTTTACTTGATTAGAGCTAATCGTGTACATCTCTGTTCACTAAAACACCTTGGCACCTTGAGATTGGCCACAGTGGGAGGATTTATACTATGAAGATTGACAAATGCTCTAAATCAGGGCTTCTCCCCTTATTCCTGGAAATCTAGTTACTGAACATTTTCTTTTTTTTTTTTTTATTAAATATTTTATTGGGCAGCCCGGGTGGCTCAGCAGTTTGGCGCTTACCTTCGGCCCAGGGTGTGATCCTGGAGACCCAGGATCAAGTCCCACGTCAGGCTCCCTGCGTGGAGCCTGCTTCTCCCTCTGCCTGTGTCTCTGCCTCTCTCTCTGTGTGTCTCTCTCATGAATAAATAAAGAAAATATTTTAAATAAATAAATAAATAAATAGATAGATAGATAGATATTTTATTTATTAATTCATGAGAGATACAGAGAGAGAGGCAGAGACATGGCAAGGGAGAAGCAGGCTCCCTGGGAGAAGCCTGATGTAGGACTCGATCCCAGGATCCCAGGATCATGATCTGAGCCAAATGCAGACACTCAACCACTGAGCCACCCAGGCGTCCCTCTAAATATTTTCCAACACACCCCTGCCCAGCCTCCTAAGACTGTGCATAAGTGCTTCCATTTTGTCTGAGAATCTTTTGTAGCACACCACACTCCTGATATCAATTTCAGATTTGGTTAGGGATTATTTGCATGTTAGTAAAAATGCATGTAAGTTAGTTTTCCAGGATGGGAAATGGTGGGGTATCTTATAGATCCCAAGTGCAAGGCCCCAAAGGCTTCAACACCTTCTCTGTCTCCTTCTTTCCCTTGAGCTTTGTTTTCTCTGATGTCCAGTTTCTTCCCCTGTCTCTCTCTATTGCATTTGCATATATGGTCCCAGCTCTGCTTCTATAACATCTTCTAGTTCAAGCACCTAAGAGAGACTGACTCGGATTCATCCATTGCAATTCCACATTTCTTTCTTTCTTTCTTTCTTTCTTTCTTTCTTTCTTTCTTTCTTTCTTTCTTTCTTTCTTTCTTTCTTTCTTTCTTTCTTTCTTTTCTTTCTTTCTTTCTTTCTTTCTTTCTTTCTTTCTTTCTTTCTTTTTCTAAGATTTTTATTTATTTTTGGGAGATAGAGAGAATGAGCAGGGGTAGGGGCAGAGGAAGAAGAAGACTCCCTGCTGAGCAGGGAGCCTGACGCAGGACTCGATCCCAGGACCCTGGAATCATGACCCAAGCCAAAGGCAGACCCTTACCGACTGAGCCACCCAGGCGCCCTCAATTCCCCAGTTTTAGAAGAAAGAAGAAACTGTGATTGGTCTAATTTGAGTCCAGCATACTCTGTTGGTCTAATCAGCTGTGGTTAGGAGTGGTATCATGTGGCCTGTGGTGCACTCAGTAAAGATTTTAGGTGGGGGCACAGATGGGTGGCATGGGCTATGATTGACCCATTTGTTTATTTAAAGATTTTATTTATTTACTCATGAGAGACACAGTGAGAAAGGCAGAGACCTAGGCAGAGGGAGAAGCAGGCTCCATGCAGGGATCCTGATGCAGGACTCCATCCTGGAGTTCTAGGATCATGCCTTGAGCCGAAGGCAGATGCTCAACCACCAACCCACCCAGGCATCCTTATGATCGACCCATTTGCATATATTCTATGTTTAGGTGATTTTTAGTTTTACTCTATCATCCTAATACTGTGGTAGACATCTTGGTGCAAAAACATTTGTCCATATTTTGGATTATTTGCTTAGATTTAAGTTGCAGAAATGGATTTATAGGATAAGAGAATATAAAATTTTAAAGGGATTTGGTAAATATTGTCAAATTGTGTTTTTTTTTAAGATTTATTAAAAACTTTTTTTATTAGCTTCAGAGGTAGAATTTAGTGATTCATCAGTTGCATATAATACCCAGTGCTCATTACATCCTGTGCCCTCCTTAATGCCCATCACTCAGTCACCCCATCCCTCTATCCACCTCCCTCTAGCAACTCTCAGTTTATTTCCTAGAGTTCAGCATCTTTTATGGTTTGTCTCTCTCTCCCTCTCTCTGTTTTCATCTACAGATACACAGGTACACAGACACACACACAAACACAGCCGATTGGTTCTATTTCTCTAGAGAACCCTAATACAATGAGTGTTTTTAGTCTATGAGAATTCAGTGAGGCATATTTTTATGATATATTCAGTGTGTACATTAAACTGAAAATTTTTTTAAGCTTAAAAAACTAGGTTTGAATTAAAATTTTTTTTTATTATTTATTTATGATAGAGAGAGAGAGAGGCAGAGACACAGGAGGAGGGAGAAGCAGGCTCCATGCTGGGAGCCCGACGTGGGACTCAATCCCAGGACTCCAGGATCGTGCCCTGGGCCAAAGGCAGGCGCTAAACTGCTGAGCCACCCAGGGATCCCCGAATTAAAAATTTTTAAAGTAGAGTCAGCTGGTTGAGCATACAGAGAAAACACTAACCACATACTACTAAAGGCTATAGAATTTGGGCAAACTCTTTAGAAAGACAATTTTGTGGGATACCTGGCTGATTTAGTCGGTGGAGCATGGGACTCTTTTTTTTTAATTTTTTTTAAGATTTTGTTTATTTATTCATAGAGACACAGAGAGAGAGAGAGGCAGAGACACAGGCAGAGGGAGAAGCAGGCTCCACACAGGGAGCCTGATGTGGGACTCGATCCTGGGTCTCCAGGATCACACCCCAGGCTGCAGGCGGCGCCAAACCGCTGTGCCATTGGGGCTGCCCAAGCATGGGACTCTTGATCTCAGAATTGTGAGTTTGTGACCCATGGCTATACTTAAAAAAATTTTTTTTAAACCAATAGGCTGTGTGTGTGTGTGTGTACATGTTTGCATATAGAGAGAAACACATTTTTTGTAAGGATTTGTTTTACACAATTATATAGGCTCACAAGTCCTAAGATCTAAAAGGTAAGGTGGCAAGCTGGAGGCCAGGAGAGCTAATGATTTATTTCCAGTCTGTGTTCAAAAACCTGAGAACCGGGGGATCCCTGGGTGGCTCAGTGGTTTAGTGCCTGCCTTCATGCCCAGGGCATGATCCTGGAGACCCGGGATCAAGTCCCACGTCAGGCTCCCTGCATGGAGCCTGCTTCTCCCTCTGCCTGTGTCTCTGCCTCTGTCTCTCATTCTCTCTCTGTGTCTTTCATGAATAAATAAATAAAAATCTTAAAAAAAGAACCCAAAAAACCTGAGAACCAGAAGAGCCAGTGATGTTATTCCAGTACAGCACATGTAGCTAATGTAGTTCCAGTCGTAAGGGCATCAGGCAGGAAGAATTCTTTCTTATTGAGGGGGGAATCAGCCCTTTTGTGCTATTCAGGCCTTCAACTGGTTAGTTGAGGCCCACCCACATTAGAGAGGGCATCTGCTTTACTGATTTAAATGTTAATCTCATCCAAAAGCAACCTCACAGGGCAGCCCCAGGTGGCTCAGCGGTTTAGCGCCACCTTCAGTCCGGGCGTGATCCTGGAGACCCAGGCTCGAGTCCCACATCAGGCTCCCTGCATGGAGCCTGCTTCTCCCTCTGCCTGTGTCTCTGCCTCTCTCTCTGTCTCATGAATAAATAAATAAAATATTTTTTAAAAAAAGGCAACCTCACAGAAGCTCTCAGGATAATGTGTGACCAAATATCTGGGCACCCTGTGGCCAGTCAAGTTGACACATAAAATTAATAATCACATCTATATAACCGTATGTATGTCAAGAGACAAAGGTACATGCTGGCTGTATTTTGAATGTTAAAGTTGATCAAAATATTTTTCAGTATGTAAAATGTGCATGTTACCCATTGACCCAGTAGTTCTTCTAGGAATGTAGCCTATGGAAACATTCAGAGAGGTAGAAGAACATACTTGTATAAAAAACGTATATCATTATTAGTAAAAATTCTAACATTTATTGAGTACTTGATAGGCACTATGCCAAATGCTTTGCATATCATATTTGATTTGATCCTCACATCAATTTTGAGAAAGGTAGCATGTCCTTTATCTTAGAAGGAAATCAAGGTTCAGAGAGGTTAAGTAACTTATGTAAGGCCACACAACTGGCAAATGGCTAGGATTTGAACCAAGCAATCTGGTTCTATAAGACCACTTTTAACCATTATTGCTGTGTGTTATAATAGTAAAAATGAGAAAATACCTAAAATGCATGTAAAAAATGAATCAGATAAATAATGTATTTCCATTCAGTAGAGTAGTATATAGCCATTAAAAAGAAGGAAATCTAGATATACATAGTGACAGAAAACTTTATGTTTTGCAGTTACAAAATAGGCTGTAGGAGATGATGTCATTTTAATAATAAATGTATTGAGAATTTATCTTTGATGGACTATCCACTTTCTTCTCTGTAATTCCGGAATTCATACATTCTGGAATATTATTCATTAATATTTATTATTGTTCTAATGGCAGAAAAACAATAAAAAACAATTGGTCCAGAAAGGGGCCACAGCCCCTGGGAACTGGTCCCCAGGCACAGCAGAGTTGAAATTCCTTGCCCAGCCGGCCAGGCAGACCCTAGGTGGTCAGTGCCCCTTGGCTCCTCCTGACTTTCTCCTCCCTTCTCCTAGGATGCTGTCTGTGACTGTAGCACCCAGTCTCTCACCTCCTGCTTTGCCCGGTCGTCCCGCTCTGCCATCCGCCATTCTCCTTCCAAATGCAGGCTGCACCCTTCGGAGTCCAGCTGGGGTGGGGAGGAGAGGGCAGCTCCCCCCAGCGAGTGATGGAGCAGCCGTGCTCCCCACCTCAACCAGCCCAGTCCCTGGACAGCCAAAGGGAACCAGCAGAGAGGAGACGAGGTGAGGTGCTCAGGCCCTCAGCTCAGGTCTCGCCGCGGAGGGACAGCAGCTACCACTGCCAGAGAACAGCACTCCCATCCAGGTAAAGCGGGGTCGCCTGCTGACTGCTGGGTGGTGAGCTCTGACTTCCCAGGGGAAGGCAGCGAGTGGGAGAGAGACCACAGCTAGACTTCAGAGGTGGCTTCAGAGAGATCCCTTGGGAGCCAGTTCGTTGGGAGAGGCTTGCCTGGTTCTACCTGCACCCACTTCTCAGAAGAGCCAAGGAAAGGATACACTTCCAGCCGTGCTCCTCAGGGTAAAGGGCTCACAGAGATGTTCCCTGCCAACCATGTCCTCCATCACAGGGAGGAAAACACCGATGACCAGAACAGGCTTTGCTGTAGGACTCAACATGGAGTTCCTGGTGGAGTTGAGCTGGGCATCATCCCCATCCCTTCCTTCCCTTCACCACGTCCTCCTCCCAGCCCTAGTGCTCTGGATTGCTATGGCTCTAGGGGGTATGATAGAGCAGTAGCCAGGGCCAGGTATCTGCTTGGAATCCTGGAGCTCTGGATCTCCCAGCCCATAGCCTGGATGCAGCAAGGACTGGAAGATGGGGTAGAAATGTGTAGGGCTCTGGATTGGGAGGAGCCCTACCTTCCCAGGACAGAAATAGGTAGAGTCGGTTTCAAGACCTGGTGCACAGATAAATGCCTAAATGCCCACTGCCTTGATCGCTGGGGCCTCTTTCACCGGCATCCTGGAGGGGAGCCACATCTCCACTGTGTTTACATCCTGTGGCTGGTGGAGGGCAAAGATATTCCCAATGAGAGACTCCCAGTTGGCCACCCCAGGCCATGCATGGAACACTCCAGGAGGCCAGTGCCCCAGGACATGGCGGTGGACAGGTGGCCTGGAAACTCATTTCTTGCATTGGTTGTTTATTTGAATTTTTCTTACTATAAATATTTAAGGTGGCTTTACTTTATTTTAATAATTTAATTTACCCCAAAGTCCCTAAGGTAATTTATTGGAGGTTGAGACATGTATTCTTGCCCTTGGGACAAAGTGAGGACAAAGCCTTGGACAGGCACGGGGGTCCCACACACAGACGAGGCAGCTCCGCAGCTGAGCTCGGGACTCCTGATCAAGGTTGGATGGCCCCCCAGTAGAGCTGGAGCCCTGCAGCTTGTTCCCCGTTATTGCTGACCATCTGGCCTCAGAGCACTGCTTTTCACTCACTGCCTGGTACTTGGCCAGCCCCTGGCAATCAGTCTGTAAACCCTCACTGACAGGGTAGAGGGCTGGGCCGATGTCCCCACTTCCCAGACATTCTCCGTCTGCCCTCTCATTTTGCTTCCTCCCTCTGAAACTTTTTTTTTATGAGTCAAACACAGATTACTGAGGCTCTCTCAAGAGCATGGAGATCTCTCCAAGTTCCCCAAGTGAGAACTCACAGGAAAACAGGACTGAACTTCGAGAATGTTGTTTATTGCAGCTTTGCACATGGACCTGAGAGTGTCTGCCAGCAGCTCTCACCACCTGCCAGCCTTCTCAGCAGCCTCTTTCCTTAGCCTTATGGCCTCTCCTGGCCCCTCTTCCAGACCCAGCTCCATTGCCTGCCCTTCCCACATCCCATGTGACCTGCCTGAGCCATTGGACATACTGCAGTGTGGCTCATTGCAGTGTGGCAGGTAAGGCCTCAGATGGCCTCTCCCTTGGTGCCAGCGAACCCATACCGGTTGCACACGTGCCCGCACACACGCAGATGCGTGAACCTCCTACAACTGGCTGGGGGCCCAGAGTGGAAATACCAAAATGAAGCAGCTTGTCTGTGGAATTCAGGAAGACCGAAAGCCAGCAGCTTTGTTAGTTTGCCCCCAGGACTCAGGAGACACTTCTGTACTCCCACCTGTTCTCAGTCCTGCCCATTCAGGGTCACCTGGACAAGTTACCCAAAGTCCTTCATCTCCACTCCCTATGGGCAGAATGCAAGGGTCATGTCAGTTTGACCAGGCCTTTCATCATGCCATCGTGACTTGTGTGGGCAGAGCAGGCAGGCCAACAGAGCCATGGGCCAGTCCACCTGGGATGCTGCTGCTCCTCCCACTCAAAAGGTCAGGAGGCCCCTCCAAGGTTATCTCCAGGAGGGGATTCACACGAGGCCAAATGTCACCAGAGGCCTTTTGCCACCTCCCCAAGCTATGGAGGGCCAGGGAGGCTGGTTTCCCAGCCTTGGGGAGAAATCCTCATGACACCCAAACCCCAAGGCCTCGGACCACTCAGCCTTACCATCGTCCTCGTCCAACATTGTCCTTGCAATCTTCTTGTCTCAGCACCTGGCCTCCTGGCCCCAGATGGTATCAGAGGCTCTAGATCTTGGTTTTCGATAAAGTCCGAGTGTCCACTTCCTGCATGCCACTGTGCAATGTCACTCATCACTGTTCCTGCAGAAGCCTCTGGATGTGGGGCTTGATGGGGTTGAAAATGTTATGTGTAAATATTGGTTTGGTTTGATTTTTTAGCATTTTAATTAGTAACTGGTTGTGTTTTCTTTTTGGGGGTGGGGGGGTTGGTTTGTAAAAATTCTCTACTCTTTTGGAATGTAATTTCTAAGTTTGTTTGTTTCTTCAAATGCCTTTTAAGTCTTGGTAACATTCCCAAAGCAGAAAACTGCCTGACCCACAGTGGGGATTCCCCTGGAGCACTGGAGTCCCAGGAAGGAACACTGCCCTCTTCCCTTTCTCCCCTTCCTCCTCCTCCTCCTCCACCACTGGACTCTCAGCACCTTCTTCCTCTTCCTTCTCCCCAACGCCGTCTATCTATCCTTCTTGTCTCCACTGTTTCCCACCAAAGTCCCAAGGAACCTTGGGGTCCTAATCCCTTACAGATCACTGGGTTTGGATCTATTGTGTTGGCACCAGTTGGTTAGGGGAAGGAATGGGGGGGCAGTTGCCTTGGTGGACCCTAAACTGGACGACCTCACATTCCTTATGTCTGACCTCCTCCCAAAGCCAAACTAGACTCTCCTGGGGGCAATGATGTCTGTATTTGAAATGAAAATCAGACCACTTTGGCACATCAGTGGCTCCTAGATCTTGTATGCACAAGGCGTCTATATCCAACTCCTCTCTCCCTGTTTCCATCCCAGGCTGTTCCCCACCAAAGGCTGGGAAATTTAAAAATACCTCCAAGAGGTTTTGCTTTCTGTGAACTCAAAACAGGCCCCACCTCTTGGTCTTCCCAGGGACAGTCCTCTCCCAGTTGTTCTCCCAGTGGACAAAGGACCCAAAGACCTCACACTGTAACATGCTGTCACATGGTTCTATCATCCCCACCCCTAGGTGGGGATGAAACCTTTCATGGTTTCATCACCAGCTTATTCTCCACCTGCCCATCCAACTTTCAGGCTCTTCCTCCCTCTCTCCTCCCCTCCAGAATGTCCCCCACCTTCCAACCTGGCCAGCCCCCCCACATCACTCATACTAATAATCATCCCCTGCACACCCCACCTACAGTACTACTATCTAGAGATTGCTCCCCTGTCCCCTATCCCACATCTGCTTCAGACCTCTGGGAGAGCTCTGGGAGGCAGTCTTGGCAGGACCGGGGTTAGGGGAGGTCAGGACACCGAGGTGTAGACTCACCCCAGAGTCTCCTGACTGGGCAATCATCGAGCCTAGACTAGGACCTGGGTCCATTGGATCCCCCAGCCCAACTCTGTCCTGCTTGCTGTGTAAACCCATTGTCCCACTGGAGACTTTTCGGTGTGGGGCCAGGACACCCAGAAGATACGACTACCTAACCGAGACTTGAAACCATGCAACCATCACTGCTATCCATTTCTAGAACTTTTTAATCACCCAGGCTGAACCTCTCTGTACCCACTGAAAAATTAATCACCCTCTCCCCAAGTCCCTGGTAACCTCCTTTCTATTGTCTCTATGAATTTGCTTCATCAGGGTGGCTCATATAAGTGGAATCGCACAATATCTGTCCTTTTGTGTCAAACCACCTCACCTTTTTAGATGAAAAGCTAAGCCCAGAGAAGAGGGAGGCTTGCCCAAGGTCACAAAGCAAACAAAAGGCAGAGTCAGGACGAGAACCCTAGTTTCCTGACCCCCAGCCGATGCTGTATCCCCAGGGGTGAATGAGACCCCACTCTGCCATTCTGGGCTCTTGGTGGAGCCCCTTCTTTTCTCTGGAGTCTGTTTGCTGCCCTCCTCCCATTCATCCTTTCTGTTACTGTCTTCCTCCAAAGCTTCCCCTCCTCCTGCCTCCTTTTCTCTGCTGGTTCCAACAACAAACCAAGTGGCCCTAGCCTGTGGCTCAGAGAGCATCAGCCTTGCCAGTCCTACTCACTGGGCTTGGCCTCGTCACCTCCCAGCCCAGCAGGACATCCCCTAGGTCCACAAGGTCCATCCTTGAGCCACATTATCTTCTCTGTCCCCAGTCTCAGGACCCCTTCAGTGTCCACTGTTACATGGGGCTGAGGGTGGGGGACTAGAATCTCCCCTTCTGGGTTCCTATACCCTGCCCAGTCCTGCCCAGCCTTGTTAAAAAGATGCAGCCTAGCTTGTGTTCTTCTCTCCCTAGGCCATTTATCCATTAGTCTGTCCATTTGACACCCCATTCTCCTCTCTGCTCTTCCCTGGGCCTCACTGTCTCTGGAATAGTTTGTCCTGTCTTTACCACTTGCCCCTCCCAACAGTGTTTGAAGTTGGTGAAGTCCACAAACCCGAGAACCAAAGGGGACATGATGCTGGGCCTGTATTCCCCTGCCCAGGGCTCCTCACCACCACCTGCTACTCTTCCCTCACCCTCCTTGGATCCTCATTTATCCTGTCAGGCCAGTTTCCCTCCCTTCCTGCCTTTCACCAGCCTACAGGACCCCAGGCCCTAAAGAAAGGAGCTCTTGTTTTCTTGAAGCATTCTTGAAGTGTCGAGGCAGTCAGGGCCTGGATGCTTTGTCACAGTCCATTCTGATACTACTCAAACTGCTCCTGTGAGGAAGAACCTCAGCTGGGAATCTGGAGATGCTGTCCAAGTCTGGGAAGATCTCTGTTTGGCTGGTTCGATGAGCCTCCCCCTTCTATGACCTTATCATGAGCACCAGGATGATCCCCAGGGCCCCAGAACACCCCTTGTGTTTTGGGATCCCACATCACCAACTTCTCTCCACTGGACCATGGTATCCTGGCTCTTCTCTCTACTCTGCCTCTGATCTCTGTGCCTTAGTTTACTTCTCTGCACAGGAGGCTCACCACAAGACTGTTCCCAGCAGCTTCCCAGGTATTCTGGTGCCCCTAAGGTTGCGCCTTGCCAGCTGTGGCCCAGCTCCCTGTCACTGCCTCAGGACACCAAGTTGCTGAGGATGAGGTGCCAAGAGGTTCTAAAAGTGGCTGGAGCATCACCTGGGAGCTTGACAGAAATGCAAAATACTGGCCCTACTTGAGACCTGCAGAATTAGAAATTCTGGTGTGAGGCCCAACAAGCTGGGGGTTTAACATGCCGTCCAGGTGATTCTCATATAATAGGACTTGGCCAACTGCTGATCTGCACTAGCCATCAGTGTGGCCTAGTGAGGATCTGAAGCTGGCCCAGACCAGGAACAGGTGGAAAATACCAGCCTCATCTGGACGCCTGAGAGATCAGAACTCTCTCTGCCAAACAAATAACTATGTCCTTTTCCTGGAAGCTGGAGGGCAGCAAGAAGGCTACAGTTTTCCTTTCCTTGCCCCAGAACTGGTTCCAGTTCTCACAAAAGGCCATGTAGAGTTTTGTTAGCCAAGCAGTAAGTGGGAGCCCTGGGCAGGGGGTGGGGGTGGCAGAAGACAAAAACCCTGGCCATGTATCCCTTGGGAACCTCACCACAGGCTCATGACCTCTCTTCAAGTAGTAAGAAACCTAACCCTCAAGGAAAGAATCCTAAATCCCTAGCTCCTCCTCTTCCTCCCACCTCCAGGGAGACCCAGTAGACAGTGCCAAAAAACAGCTCCAACCTCCAGCAGCTGGGGAAGAGAGCCAGAAGCTGCCCTCTCATCCTGCCCCCCCAACCCCTGCCAATACTGTGAAGCCCCCTCCCTGCCCAGCCTGGTTTCTTGATGAGGGTCCTGCAGTTGTGGGCCCTAGGGGACCCCCAGGGAAAGGCCCTCAGGAAGGAAGGGACCAAGGGCATCCTTGGGCCAAACTGTATGCCTCTCCTGTCCACTGTTCTCTCTTCCCCACTTCTGTCTTCAAAAGGCTCCTTCCCAAGATGGATTGGGTGCTAGGACAACTGGTCCAATCCACCAGCTCTCCCTGCCCCTGTGTCTTATTTCAAACATGAGAATACCTGTACAGTGTAAACTTACAAAAGGTTTTTAATGGTTGTAGATTGGAAATAAAGTATGTCATATGAACAGTTTCCATGGATTTGGCCTCCTCTGATTTTTCTTGCAGGGTGGGTGGGGTCCCCATCAGATTTGAAACCTGACTTTACCAATAGCCCAGCTTCTAGGAAAGAGGGAGCCCTGGGGATGCCACAGTCACCTGGCTACTTTGGGGTCACTTGGGAGGGGCTCCCAAGGGTCCTGGATACTGATTCTTTAAACCTCAGAGTCTGCTATGAAGTGTGATATGACCATTGAGAAACCTGCAGTGTTAAAAAATGTTATTTTCTACAAAAAACCCACAACTTCTTAAAATGTATCATGGAAAAAAAAGGAAACTTTAGACATAGGTCAGTTATCTATTACAGTTTAATTGGCTCAAAACATTTATTAGATCACAGGTGCTGTGAATCAGGAATTTGGGCACTGGGTAGTTCTGACTCAGTGTCTCAAAAAGGTTGCAGTCAAAGATCAGTCAGGCTGCGATCATGTATAGGCTTGACTTGGGCCAGAAGATCCATTTGCAGCATGGCTCACTCCTGTGCCTGGCAAGTCTGTGTTGGCAGGAGGAGGCCTCAAGTCCTCTCTACATAGATCTTTCCATAGCACTCCTTGAGTATCCTCACAACATGGCAGCTGGCTTGCCCTAGAGCAAGTCATCTATGAGAAATCAGGGTAGGGCAGCCCCGGTGGGGTGGCGCAGCGGTTTAGCGCCGCCTGCAGCTCAGGGCGTGATCCTGGAGACCCTGGATTGAGTCCCACGTCAGGCTCTGTATGATGCCTGCTTCTCCCTCTGCCTGTGTCTCTGCCTCTCTCTCTCTCTCTCTCTCTCTCTCTCTCTCTCTATGAATAAATAAATAAAATCTTTTTTAAAAAAATCAGGGTAGAAGTCACCAATGTCTTTTATGACTAAACTTTGCAAATCACACAGTCATTTCTGCAGTATCTTACTGGCTATACAGCTCTTCTCAGTGTGGGAAGGCTTCACAGAAGGACATCTGAACTGGCATCTCAGGTCGAGATGTTGAGTAAATAAAGAGGATAGTGGTATATTCTAGGCAGGAGACTGACAGGAGGTGGCTCCAGGGTGAGGGAGTGCACATATGGGAGTCTAGTAGAGAACAGAGAGAACTGGAGAACCAAAAGGTTGTCACTGGAATAAGGAGTGACGAAAAAGGCTGGGTCAGATCACGTGGTGCCTTATGAGGGAAGGAATGTCCACATCCCATAGACAGTAGGAAGCCATAGGAGAGTTGAAAACGGAGAAAGGACAGAGGATGTATTGGGTTTAGAATTCATGAAGTAATATTCTCACTGTGCCTCAGGATGACCAGGATGGCTGGGAACACTGTGTTCTGTCCCTGGGACATTGACAGATGATGAGTTGAAAGAGGGCAGCAGGCATAGAAGGAACAGAGTACCACTGAGCCCCAGAGAGTGATATTCTGGGAACAAGAGCAAATCTCTGCTGAAATCAGATGGCTATTAGAGCCAGCAGGCTAAAACCACAGGGTGGAAAATTTCAGGAAGGCAGACTTCTTCCTTCTTTCAGAAAACATTTCCAAGGACTGCAGCTGCTATGGAAGGATGACCACAGTCACATTCCAGGTGCTGCTCCCCAACATATCTTTCAGACTTTATGAACTGCTAATAGTTCAACATTTGGTTTCAGATCTGGGAGAAAGGACTGCATATGCAAGGGGTCATTTCCGTGGCATCATGCGAGGTGCTAAAGAAGCAAGCCTGCTCTCTGGGGGCTCCCATGCCAGCAAGCGATAGTGGAGTAGACACAGTTGGACTTCTGGAAATACACAGTTTTCAGCCTGGAGCCTCAGAGAAGAGCCTGAGAGGGATGAATCCTCAACTGAGGCTTAAAATTGGAGAATTTTGCAGGGAAAAACTGGAATGGGCTTCCCAGGCAGAGGGAACGGCTTGAGCAAAGGAGCACAGGGAAGAAGCAATAGGGGTGGGCAGAGGAGCTGTAAGCAGTTGGGGGAGGGGGCGGGCTGCCATAAGGGTGCACAGGAGACTTCTTAAACTTTGCCATGTATTGAAGGGGTCACAGGAGGAAAAGTGCTAGAGCAGGAGTGGGGTAGAATAAAACAGTACAGAGCTCCATTCTGCCCTGGGAGAGGCAACAATACAGAGGGAAGGTGGGGGCAATGGCCTAATGACGGGGCAGGGCATCAGATGCCCCGTGATCCACTATATTCCTTTGGCAAGCAACTCTCTGGGCCTCCGCCACCGCATCTTCAATGGGCTCTGGGCGCATCAGGCCCAAAGGACAAGAGGAGGCGGAGTCCCTAAGAGGGTACGTGGTGTGGCTGGGGAAAGAGGTTAGGCAGCTAGGTCTGGACCAGTAAGGACTTGAACTAGGGAGGGGGAGGGCGGGAGGCAAGAGGCGTTTGGACACCAGTTTACGCATGCGCCTCGAGGGAGGCGGCGTTCTGCGCATGCGTGTGCGGACCCGCGAGGCGGCCGACTGCGCAGGCGTCCTTGTTTCGCGGGACTTTTCGGAAGCCGCGGCGGAGGTGATGGCGCAGGCTGCTGGCGGCGCCCCGGGCCTAGAAGGAGCGGCTGCAGTGGCGCAGGACGTTGAAGCGCGACCCTTGGCCGCGGAAGGTGATCTGCGGGCTCGTATCTCAGGGACAGAGGCTGCGGCTGGGCTGGGCTGGCGTCCCGAGGTCAGGAAGTCGCAGACCTGCCCCGGGACACCATTCGGGTCGCCCCTGCACCAGTCTCTTTGGCGTCGGACCTCTCCGCCCAGCCCAGACCGGTGGCCGCCCCCAGACAGCCGGCGCTGGGCGACCCGGGGCGCTGCGGCCTCTTCCGGGTGAGGGGAATCCCAAGGGCGGGCCGCACCTCGCGCTGGGGGCGGCCTCTTTTCGGATCCGGCGGTTTAGACTGCAGACTGGTGCTTGAGGGCTGGGGGTGGGTCACAGGCGTGGGTTCGGATTTCACCCCTGCACCCGCACCCCCGGCTGCTCCTAGTGGGCCAGTCTTTTGCCCCTGTGAACTTCAGTTTCCCTATCAGCAGGGGGGAATTAATGATAGCATTTACAGAGCTGTGAAAAGGATTAAGTGGGATGAGATAATGATGCAAATAAAACGCCTGTGTTCGCACATACACAGCTCGTGGCATAGAATAAGCGCTTAACGAGCAGCTTCACAAGTGACATTTGTTGCTGTTATTATCCAGGCTTGAATCTGCGATACAGCCCTAACTGGGGATCTAGATCCCTGACCTACCCATCTTTGTTCTGTTACTTTCCCGTGCTGTCCCTCCGGTATCCATTCATTTCTCTTTATTTAGAGTCCCTCCCCCTTATACAGATTTCTGCTGGGAGGGAGGGTATGGGTGGAAGAGGCAGAGATGCCTTAGTCGTGTCCTTCCTTGCCTTCTTCCAGTCAGTTGTCTGTGGACACCCACTACGAATACAAATACACTCTGGCTGGGGTGACAGACATGTAAACAGACTATAGCGCTAGGAAGACTAAGGGATGGAGCAGCCAGCTTTGCCTTGTGGTCCGAAAGCTTCACATCTGAACTAGGTTGGGAAGGCTGAGTAAGTCTTACAGTCAGTGGGAGTAAAGATTCAAAACTGGTGCAGGGAATGGAGTTGGCAGGAGAGAGTAGGGATGGGTGGGTTGGGACTAGTTTATGAAAGGTGTTGAATATACTGGAAGAATCTCTGCTGCCTTATAAATGGATTAGAAAGGAGCAGTGCTGCATGTTTTTGTTTTGTTTTTAAATATTTATTGATGAGAGACACAGAGAGGCAGAGACATAGGCAGAGGGAGAATCAAGCTCCCTGTGGGGATCCTGATGTGGGACTCGATCTCAGGACCCTGGGATCACTATGTGAGTCAAAGGGAGATGCTCAACTACTGAGCCACCTAGGTGCCCTGCAGTGTTGGATGTTGCAGGACTAGTGGAGAGGCTGTAAAATTATTCTGGGGAGGGGGAGGCAAATGGTGGAAGTTCTGACACCCGAACTAAACTGAGAACTGGAAGTGGAGAAAAGTTTCCAGAGACTCCTGGAGGTAGATCGGCAGGACTTTGGATGTGGAGATTAAACAAGGAAAGGATGATGTAATTTTTCTAATTTGGAAGACCGTGTAGGTCATAATGCCATCTACTCATATCTAAAATAATTGGGAAATAAAGGAGGGTGAGTGTTTTAAGCAAGACAAGAGTATTTCTAGTGATGAGTTCTATAGAGATTCAGTACAGGAGGTGATGATAATCTTTAGTCTAGTCTCTGGAGAAGGTGGATGAGGTGGGACTGGGCTGGGCCTTGTCAGGTAGGTAGAATTTCATGGGGCAGTGATGAGCAGTTCGAAAGGCTGGACAACACAGGTCAAGGGTAATAAGGCCCCAGAAATGTGAAGAACAGGTCACTTCGTTTTCCTATTTTCAGGGTTCTTCATCCAGGATGTCTTCGGTAATTAGATCGGAAGCTATAGAAGGTGAGTATTGTAATGAAAATGAGAACCTCTTGCCTTGGGTTCAGGTTTCTGTGCTGTACACAAATGCTTTCCTGGCTGCTGGTGGATTTGGAATCATATAATCACATTATTTGCAGAGATGCTTCCTCACCGTTTCTGTGATCTGGGGCATACATTTTCTTTTTCCACCTTTTTGCTCTGATGCATTGTTGTGGGTTTTATTTTGTATTTTGACTTTTTCATAACAAATGCTAGAAGAGGAACCAGTGACATCTAAGACTTACGATCATCCACTGAAATCGGATCCCATCCCTGTGGAAGTGTGTAGCAAATCACCTGCCTCCCTGGAGATGATTCAAGGCGTTTCAGAGGAAAGAATTCACCCTGGCTCGAGCCCTAAAATGGGGGGAAATTGTGATCTCATCCACCAGGAAGGACTTCAGTCCAGGTCCCTTCATTTGTCCCCCCAAGAACAATCTCCCGATCGTCAAGACAAGAGGCAATCTTGGCGGCGAGCAAGTATGAAAGAAATGAGCCGGCGGAAGTCACTGCCTGCCTTTCACCAGGGCATCACAGGTGGGGTGTCGTGTATATAAGACAGGAATTCCAACTCAGATAAGAGGCAGTGAGGTATGGCAGAAGGAATGGAGGAGGATTGACCTGGCTTTGCTACTTACTAGTTATGTGACTGAGCGAATCGGGTCACCCCGTCAACCTCAGTTTCCTCATCTGTAGGGGAGATATTAAGATCATAAGTACTAATGTCAAACACCTAGTAAGTGTCCTGTATGATTGCTATTTATATTAGCAGCTGCCCATTGTAATCACCATGAACAGAAATTTCTAGTTTACAGTCATTCAGCACTCACCTCTGCTAGGATGAAAGGCATTAAAAATATTTCTTCATATGGCTTTCTGTCATTTCCTAAAATGAAACAAGGTGGATGGGTTGTTACCTAATTATAGGCTTTATAACTGAAAATATCTCAGAGTGAGGATTCATGTGAAGATAGCTTGGTGAAAACTAAGTTTTTAGACACGTATTTGAATGTGATATGTGTAAATTTACGATAATAATTACATCTTAGTAAGCATCGAAGTACAAGATTTAATATGGAAAGTCCAGCATATTTCAGGAAGAACTTAGTTGTGTAACCTTGAGCAGATTACTTAAGCTCCTTTGCCTTACAGTCCTTAACAATAAATGGGATGAAATAATACCTGTTTTACAGGGTCATGTGAAAATTAAATGCATTGACATATAACATAGTTCTTGGCATATAGTAAGTAAATAGCTCCAATGTTAAGCTGTTGTGGTTATTTTAAAGATATTAGCTCACTTCCAGATGGCCTGATGTCTAGAAGGAAATCTGAGTAAAAATAGCCATTTAGCATATTACTGCAACAATTGTGCTCTTGCACTTTGCTCTGTAGGTGTGCCAAGAAAACAGCCGCAGTTCCTTAACTAAGATTACCCCTACCTTCATCTCTGTTCCGAGATCTGTGGACCTAAAATTCTGTATAATAAAAACGCCGATGTAATAAGTAATGTAGTTATCTCCTGGTTATCCCTGGCCACTTGCTAGGTTTCTTTGGTTATAGGCAGAAGATATCCTATTTTTCCTCTACTAACAACAATGAGAAATAATTAAGAGACAAAAGTAAAAATACAGCCAGCTGAAGCTGGATGACAAAAATCTATGGACAGAAATATATGCATCTCAAATTGTCAGAACAAACTTCCTTTGCTGTATAATTGATGTGTTTAGACAGACATAATTAAAACAGTATCAACATCTTGAGGATTCAGTGGCATAATAATGTAAAGTCACCTACCAATTCAGATGGACTCACCATGTGACCTTGGGCAGTTTACCTATCATGCAACCTTTGTACATCAGTATCTTCCTTTGTAAAATGGAATTGATAAGCTACTTGCCTTCGGTTTTAATGAGGTGTGCCTAGCATTTAATGAAATGCCTTTTATGTAGCAAGTATTCAACAAATTATTGTTAATATTATTAGGTCATTATGGAGAGGCAGCATGACTCTTAGCAGGAATATACACATTTTTTGGTGATGGATTTGGATTGAGTTCTGGCTCCACCAATCTCTGGCCTCCAGCAAGTTATCTGCCCTCTGAACTTCAATTTTCCCATCTGTAAAATGGGGCTCTTAATTTACAAGACAAGTGTATTTAAAGCACACTGCAGGGGCACATGAGTGACTTAGGAGAGCATTCAACTCTTGGTCTCAAGAGTCCTAAGTTCAGGCCTACTTAAAAAAAAAGCACAGTGCCTATCATTAAAATGCTCAAAAGTTCCCATCTCTCTTTAAATGCTGAAAATAAAACATTTTAAAAAGTTAATTTTTAAGTTAAATTATTCTATTATTTTTGCTTTGATTATTTTTTAAAAGATTTAAGTATTTAGTTGAAAATGCGCGCGCGCGCGCGCGCACACACACACACACACACACACACACACACACACACACACGAGGTGGGGGAAGGGAAGAGGGAGAGAAGCGAATTTCCATCTGAGATCACAGGGGTTGATCTCATTACCCTGAAGTCCTGACCTGAGCCAAAATCAAGAATTGAACACTCAACTGAGTCATTGACTCTCCCTTAACAGACAAGATTTTGATGTAATTTTTAAAAGGCTCTTAAAACTATTTAAAAGTATACATAAACAGGTAAATTTCATTTTCTGATTCTAAAAAAATTAGTTATGATTGTATATGAATAAATTCTCACTTTAATTAGAAAAGGCTGCTAGGTGTTCTTGCCTGAATCTAGATTGCATCAAGAGGGAGGACAATTTTCAGGTTTTTTTACTTTTCCCACTGTGTTAATATCTAGCTCCTTATATGGTGATATTTTGTTAGAGCTCAGCAGATCCATCAGTGCCAATTTAGCAGAAAGCAAACGGCTGGGCGCTCTCCTGCATTCCAGTTTCCAGGTGAGATTCTTGGGATTAAAAAATGCTATATATATATATATATATATATATATATATTTAAACAATTACTGTGACAGCCCCAAAGAGAGATCAGTATTGTGTGATGTGTCCAGTTAAGATTAAAAGATGTTTCTCTCTAGGTGGGATTAATTTAAAAGCCAGATTTAATCCTAGCAGCAGCTGATTTCTCTCTGGACTAGGCTCTCTACCAGTCCCACCAGTGCTGCTGCTAAGTGAGCAGCTGACAGAAATTTCCTCAATCTAGTGTATTTTGCCCATTGGCAGCAAATGAGAATTTAAAGTGGGTAGAGGTCAATATCTAAGTTAAAGCAGACATTTGAGGTCTGACAACATACTGGAAGAGAATTACATGGCTAACTGGTGATTACATCAGTTTAGGTAAGTCATTTGTGTTAATTAAATGACGATGTTTCTTCTCTGCACCAAAAATCAAAATGTATAGCTTGAGCGAAGAGAGTTTTCTTGATCTACATATTTGTTTATATGAAAAATCTTGGGTGTAAGAATTAAGTTATATTTACTTTTACATTGATTAAATATGAACGTAAATATGATTACGTGAACTCAGGATTGGCCTGGGAAATCTTGGTTTTTGTACTGAAAATGCTTTCCTTTATTTAGTTCTCTGTTCAGAAACTTGAACCTTTCCTAAAGGACATGGAAGGCTTCAGTCTTGAAAGTTTTAGAGCCAAAGGTAAGTTGCTAAGAATAGAGAGCAAGCTTTGGCCCTGGGCTTTACCTTCTGTTCAGGTCAGTTGAAGCCCCACTTTCAGGACCCCTATTTATAGGAGCTACTACCTCGCAAAACCAGCCCCTCTCTATATTTAAGAATTGTGTTTAAAAAAGGAAGAATATATGCTTATGAACTTCAGAAGGTATAAAAGTGAAAAAAATAAGCATGCCTCCCACCTTAAGCCAGTACAACTCTCTTCAGAGCCCCTTACAGCCACCAGCTTTTGGTGGGTTATTACACAGATCTTAATTCATTCCAACATTTTTACATTAATACCTAATGAACAATACTCTCTGCCCTGTTCTTTACCTTGTCCTTTTTTTTTTTTTTAAGATTTATTTATTAGGGATTTGGGGGAGGAACAAAGGAAGAGGGAGAGAGGAACTCAGGCAGACTGCTGAGCAAGGAGCCCAAGGTGGGGCTCAGTCTCATAACCCTGAGGTCGTGACCTGAGCCAAAAGCAAGTGTCAGATGTTCAGCCCACTGTGCCACCCAGGTGCCCCTTATGTTTTATTTTAACCAAATTATCTTGCATATTGTCCCATATTCCACATATAGAACTGTCCTTTTTTTTTTTTTTTAAGATTTTATTTATTCATGAGAGACACACACAGAGAGAGAGGTAGAGACACAGGCAGAGGGGGAAGCAGGCTCCATGCAAGGAGCTCGACGTGGGACTCGATCCGGGGTCTCCAGGATCACACCCTGCAGCACTAAACCACTGCGCCACCAGGGCTGCCCTATAGAACTGTCCTTATGGAAGTTTAGTAGCCATATGATATTTCATTTTATAAATATTCCGTATATGATTCAACCAGTTCTTTACTGATGGACTTTTAGGGTTGTTTCTAGTCTTGTTATCATAACGATTGGGGTAATGAATAACTTTTTACAGAAGCCTTTTGGCACATACACAAGTAAAAATAAGATAAATTTCTAGAATTGGAATTACATAGATCAGACGAAATGTTGGAGATTTACCAGATTGCCTTCCAGAAAGGTTTTATTAGTTCTCTTATCAGCAATATACGCAAGTACCTATTTTTTCACACACTCGTTTTATTAAACCATTCAGATTTTTTACTACATAATAGGTGATAAAAAGTATTTTCTAGTTTTTAATCTGTGTTCCTTTTTATTTTAAAGAGCATAGGCACTTTTTTTTTTTCATAGGCACTTTTTCATATTTTCTTTTTTTTTTAAGATTTTGTTTATTTATTCATAGAGACACAGAGGGAGAGAGGCAGAGACACAGGCAGAGGGAGAAGCAGGCTCCCTACAGGAAGCCCGACATGGGACTCGATCCCGGGTCTCCAGGATCACACCCCAGGCTGCAGGCAGCGCCAAACCGCTGTGCCACCAGGGCTGCCCACTTTTTCATATTTCTTAGAGCTATTTGTACTTCATTTTCTGTGTATTGTTTGTATCCTTTGTTCCTTTTTTTAAAAATCCGTAACGTGTTGATTGGGATAATTTGCCACTCATCTGGATTCAGGGTGCTTTTAGCTCTGCTTCTATCTAGAGGAATATCCTTCTGTAAGCCTTGCTTTTCCTCTTGTAGGCTCGCAAAGGACAGTGGAGCAGCCAACAGAAAAAACTACTGTTTGTGCATAGCTAAAGGCAGTGGTGATTTTGTAGCAACCTGGGCACTTTGCATCAGTGAAGTAGGAGTTAGGGCTTTGCGACAGGTGATTCTTGCACTTCCTTTTCTCCTCTGGGAATGAATGGGTGGAGGAAGTCCTTCAAGAGGGGATGTTGGGGAGTTCAGCATTGCCAGAAAGGCTCCTTTGTTCATTTTTTTAAACCGAGGTGTTGACTTTTTTACATCACTTTGTGGGAACTCTTTTTTTTTTTTATTATTTTTTTATTAATGAGAGAGAGAGAGGGAGAGAGAGAGAGAGAGAGAGAGAAGCAGGCTCCATGCAGGGAGCCCAACACAGGACTCGATCCCGGGTCTCCAGGATCAGGCCCTGGACTGAAGGTGGCACCAAACCGCTGAGCCACCGGGGCTGCCCAGTTTGTGGGAACTCTTTATACACAAGGAAATTAGCCGTTCATCTGTGATACAAATATTCTTAGGAATTCATTTTCAACTTTTCAGGAAATAGCTACAGTGTAACTACACAATCATCCAGGGTCAGAAATATTCAATGTTACGCACTTAAAAGACCTAGAAAATATACGAACTTAGAGTATTGTTTATCTCAGCATTGGATCATCACTATTAGAGTAGATATGATAGCTGTTTAAAATCTGCTTTCCCTCTGCATTTCTCACCTGAGTGCAATTGCAGATTTTCCAAGTCGAAGCAGAGATGTTTTTACCCTATACACATAATTCCTTATTCTCTTCTAACAATTTTCATTATCCTCTTGCCTTTTGCGTGACTTCTATAATATGTTCTTCCTTTCAGTGCCAGCAGTTGAAATTTCTTGAAAGATTGAAATGTCAGTGCACATATACCTTTTAACTGCTTTTCAGTCAAGTATAAAAAACATTATCATAAATGTCATAAAGAGGAGTTGTCTTCCATTTTATCTATATCTACCGAAAAAAAATAAAGATAAAATTTTCTGTGTATTTATATTACTTTGAATGGGTGAGAGGGCCAGAATATAACAGGGGACCCTAGAGCTGATATCACCTTGAATTTGTTATACCTTGTCAGCAGCTTGCTGTGAAAATTCATATTCTTTTTATTTTATAACATTTACTTTTTTCCCCCTCTAGCATCTTCTCTTTCTGAAGAATTGAAACATTTTGCAGAGAGCCTAGAAAGTAATGGAACGCTACAAAAATGTTTTGAAGATTCAAAAGGGTATGTGCAATTCCCCTATGTCCTAAATTATAATTGAATTAAGACTTTTCATTATAATTAGTTGTTTATTCACTCAACAAACATTTATCCAGCATCTTCTACACACCAGGCTTTTCTATATGTTGGAGATAAAGTCATAAATAGGTTAAGCAGGTATCTTAGTAGGAGAGACAGTCAAACAAATACATAGAAAATAAGGATTTCAAGTAGCGATAATCTAAGAAGTCAACTATGATAGTGACTTGAGGGGGTGGGTAACTTTAGCTAATGTTCAGAGAAGACCTGTAAGACCTGAGTGGTGAGAAGGAACCAGCCATGGAAAGATGAGAGGAAAAGCATTGTTCACATCTTTGCTAGCAATGCAAGGTTGATGATAAACAAACGTTGTTTAGCTGTTGGCAAGCAAGCATATGAGGATAAACTTTAAATCCCAGTCCCAAAATACTAGTTCCTCTACAGGAGCAGGGCCTAACCCTCTAGCTCTTGCCTTGCAACAAATCGTGTCACTTGGGTCTACATCATAAACTTTTTAATTTTGACTTCACAGAGGTTTACTTTCCCATAGATTTTTAAAATTAACATTGCTATCCAGGAAATGAAAAAATAGGTTGGCTCAACATAGTATCTCTTTTAATGCAGTGTATTTAAGCCACTGGCTGCTGCATCTCAGCCAGTGGTGATAGAGGCTGTGTGTCCCTGGCCTTGGTAGAGAAACATGAAAGTTGGCACAATTAACTTGGCTTTGGTGGGTAGAGTACGAAGTACATCTGCAGAATTTTGGCATTTTCAGTGCCTGCTTCTTTTCCAACAGGATTAATAACCCAACTGAACTGAGCCTTTGGTGTAAGTAAACATAATCCCTGTCCACCAATAGCATCATTTCAAGTGGGAAGAAAAGATAGTTATATACAAAAGTATTGTTGGGCCTTAAAAGATGACTCAAAAAGAAGAGACTCAAATGTGAGGTGAACAAGGAGCACCTGGGTGGCTCCGTCGGGTGAGCGTTCGACTCTTGGATTCGGCTCAGGTCCTGATGTCATGCCTCATGGGATCAAGCCCTGTGTCGGGCTCCATGCTCAGCGGGAGTCCTCTTGGATATTCTCTCCCTCTGCCCCTTCCCCTGCTCATGCTTCCTCTCTTTCTCTCTCTCAAATAAACAAATCTTTTAAAAAGATGTGAACCGGGATCCCTGGGTGGCACAGCGGTTTGGCGCCTGCCTTTGGCCCAGGGCGCGATCCTGGAGACCGGAGATCGAATCCCACATCGGGCTCCCGGTGCATGGAGCCTGCTTCTCCCTCTGCCTGTGTCTCTGCCTCTCTCTCTTTCTCTCTCTCTGTGACTATCATAAATAAATAAAAATTTAAAAAAAAAAAAAAGATGTGAACCAAAATTTGAGATGAAAAACTCCAGGGATCCCTGGGTGGCGCAGCGGTTTGGCGCCTGCCTTTGGCCCAGGGCGTGATTCTGGAGACCCCGGATTGAATCCCACGTCGGGCTCCCGGTGCATGGAGCCTGCTTCTCCCTCTGCCTATGTCTCTGCCTCTTTCTCTCTCTCTGTGTGACTATCATAAAAAATAAATAAAAATTAAAAAAAAAAAAAGTTTAAAAAAAAAAAAAAAACTCCAGATGTTTGAGGGTCAGGCTGAGTGAGATTTTATGAGGCAGAATAGGTAAAAGGCAACAATTGGAATAAAAGTTAATGAGCTGGTTGAAGCCAGAATACAGCCTAAAGTGTCAGGTTAAGGGGTTTTGACTTTTATTCTGAATGCAGTGGAGGGTCACAGAGTTTTAGGCAAAGAAAACAAAATTAAGGAGTATTTTATGTTAATTTGGCTATAGGTGAATTGAAATTGATGAGAGAAATAGAAAATAAAGAGTCCACTGAGGAAACTTCTAGTGCAAAAATGAGATAGAGCCCAAGAATAAATATTTGTTGAAAGATAAATTCTGAACATCTTTTACTGCCCTTAAAATTATGTAAGGCATCCTATGAAAAACAAGTACTTTTGAAAGATTTACGTTGATCTTAAAATCAATCCTATCTGTATTCCAGAAAAGCATCAGATTTGTCTCTGGAAACATCAGTGGCTGAGATGAAGGAATACATAACAAAGTAAGTGAAAATGAGTGATTCTTTGTTGGAAAATCTATATTCATCTGGGGAAAATAACTAGATCTGGGAAAAATGAATAGTAAACATCCCATTTAGTGTCAGTACTAGTGTGTCAACACTAGAATTTAAAAGGCTGCATATTGGGATCTTGTGGGCTGTACTCATGGCCAGTTTCATAGAATGGAATCTAGGGAATAAGGATGTTAATTTGATTTTAAGAACTCCTGTTTGATTTGATTAAATTAATATCCTCTGAATCAGTTGGGCTTTCTAATCCATTAATGACATGTTTATTCACATCTTAGAACTGTTGAGATACCTAATGTACTTATTGTTGCCTTGAGTGATTCAGAATGAGACAATCAAAAAGTAACCAATTATTTTTTTATCCTGATTCTATAGATTTTCTTTAGAACGTCTGTCTTGGGATCAGCTCTTGCAGCACTACCAGATGGAGGCTGAAGAGATCACATCCAGGTTAGATCTGTGATTGGAAATGGAAGGCTATCTTTGTACCTTGTGGAATTTTATTTGAATTGATTTCAGTTCTGTTAGCACAAATTGAAAGACGACTCCTTTCTGATAGGCCAATCAACTCATCAAAGCTCTATAAATTGTGTATTAGCACTCTAGGATTATAAATGGGGAGTTGGGAGAAGGGGAGGGAGAGTGGGTGTCACTATTTTCAGGCAAAGAACAGAATTGCTTCTGTTCTGTATCCTTGGCTGCTGTTCCACATCCTGGGGGAGACAAGTACATCTCTGCCCTATACCAGGGCATCCAGGGTTGAGCCAAGAATTTGGTCAGCACACTTCAGTTTGCAGGTGGCCTTCAAGCTGCAGGTTTTGGGGAGAGCCCTGGCCAGGTCCTTCATAAAGATGCAAAGGCCTGGAAAGGGATGATGAAAGAGGGCATATAGGAGAGAGAGGATCTTTGGGTCTTAAAGGCATAAGAAAGTGAGAAAGTGTTAGACTTTGATTTAGTTGGCCATCAAAACCAGTGATTTTAAGCTTTTTTTCCCCAACAGAATCTCAGCTAGAAACCCAAACATAAAACACTAGCTAAAACCATAATTGCACAAGTGGCCTCTTAGTACAGAGGTGCTTTAAGGAACATGGTTTGAAAAATTTCTGCAGTCCAGGCATTCATGGTTACCAGTTACTTTATTCGCCCCTTATATATTCTGTTTATGAAGTTAGGTAATGTATAAGATGGCAGTTTCACATTAAGAATTTTGATGTGAGATAGCTTACTGGTTAAGAGGAATGTTTCTGGAAGCAGATTATGTCTTTTCGAATACTAATTACTCCTTCATTTTGTGACTTTGGGCAAGCTACTTAATTTCTAAGGCTGGGGGGGATCCCTGGGTGGCTCAGCAGTTTGGCGCCTGCCTTTGGCCCAGGGTGTGATCCTGGAGTCCCGGGATCGAGTCCCATGTCGGGCTCCCAGCATGGAGCCTACTTCTCCCTCCTGTGTCTGTCTGTCTGTCTGTCTGTCTCTCTCTCTCTCTCTCTCTCATAAATAAATAAATAAATAAATCTTTAAAAAAAAATTTCTAAGCCTGAAGTTCCTCACTTGAAAATGGCGATAATATTAATACCTACCTTGGGGCACTTGGGTGGCTCAGTGGTTGAGTGTCTGCCTTTGGCTCGGGTCATAATCCTGGGGTCCTGGGATGGGGTCCTGCATAAGCCTCCCTGAAGGAGCCTGCTTCTCCCTCTGCCCGTGTTTCTGCCTCTATGAGTCTCACGAATGAATAAATCTCTAAAAAAATCTTAAAATAATAAAGAATACCTACCTCATTGGGTTATTGTGAGTGTTAAATGAGGTGAAATGGAAAGTGTTTCACAGTCTGGCAGTCAGGAAATTATAGGAGTGGTTGTTCAAGCGTTCTCTGTTTTTGTTTTTTTGCTTTAAGATTTTATTCATTCATTTGGGAGAGTGAGTACAAGCAGTGGTAGAGGCAGAGGGGGAGGGAGAAGCAGGCTCCCTGATGAGCAGAGAGCCTGACGCAGGGTTGGTCCCAGGACCCCAGGATCATAACCCCAGCCAAACACAGATGCTTAACTAACTGAGCTACCCAGGCATCCCAGAGTCCTCAGTTTTCATGAAGTCTCCATCATACTCAGTTATTTTTTTACTTTTTAGAGATTTTATTTATTTATTTGATAGAGCACAAGTAGAGGGAGAAGGGGGCAGAGGGAGAAGCAGGTTCCCTGCTGACCAGGGAGCTGGATGCAGGGCTTGATCCCAGATGCTTAACTAACTGAGCTATCAAGGTGCCCCTGTATTCTAAATATTTTAGATAATTGAAGTGGCCCAGCAATTTTGAGAAAGATCATAGACATTAATTTCAGGAAAGCAAGCTTTGGCTTTACTCCACTTATAGTCCTTTTTGTAAATGGGCCTTACTGTTAGATGGAGTCAACTGATCTGAAGGTTCTAGCATTTTCTGGAGTCCAGTGGTCTTAAATACATTAATATGGAATAATCATTTCAGACCCCCTTGTTAATAAGAGGGTCTATGTCTACAGTAGAATGGATGAATATTGGTTCAGATTAATAAAAGCCTTTCTGAGATTTTTTTTCTAGGTTGTTTTACATATCTTCTCCCAGAAATGATTATAAAAACTCCTTGAAAAAACAATTCCTTGAGGGGTGCCTGGATGGCTTAGTCGGTTAAGTGTCTGCCTTTGGCTCAGGTTATGATCTCAGGGTCCTGGAATCGAGCCCTACATCAGGCTATCTGCTAAGCAGGGAGTCTTGTTCCCCCTCTCCCCCCTGCTTGTGCTCACATGTTCTCTCTCTCAAATAAATAATGAAAGTCTTTAAAAAAAAATTCCTGAACTCTCTTTTGTTTTGTTTTGTTTTCCTCCCAGAACATCAGCTGAAACCAAAGTTACTGAAGTTGAAGTGGAACCTAAAACATATCTTGGATCTTCCCAGAGTGAAGTCCTTAGTACAAAGCCTGACTACCAGAAGATATTGCAGAATCAGAACAAAGTCTTTGATTATATGGAGTTAGTGGTGAGTTGGCTGATGTTAATTTGGTTATTTAGCTTTGCTATGTTGTGATCCTTGGAAATTGAGGGACCTGGAGAATATTGTAATGAGGTAAGTATATTCAGCTCTATCTTGGGGAAACCTGGAGAGACAATAAAACATGTGGTGGTAAGAGCTAATAAAGTAGGGTAAAGGAGAGAGTGTACAGGAAGGGCAGCAGGGTGCTGTACAGAGCAGTTGTTTATGGTCCTTCAAAGATGCCATTTTAATAGAGATTTGAAAGAAATAAGGAAGTGGGCCATGAGGACATTTAGGAGAATAGTATTGTGTCGCTTCAAATATCGACAGGAAACAGATGCACTTGATAAAGGTGAGTTGAAGGAGTGATGTATAAAGTGTAGGTATTGAGGAAATTACAAGGATTAGTGAAGTGTAGTCTGGGGCTTAGAGGCAGCTGAACTCTTAATATCCCTAGGCCTGAAAGGAGGAGGGGAGGAACAGTCACTGTGGTACCAGAGGAAGAAAATCATAGAGTGGGCTGCTTTGAGAGAGCCATGGCTTTCAGTTGAGAGACAAAAGTAACTCCAGCAAGTAACTTCCAGCAAGCCTGTGTAAAAATATTCTGACTTCATTCAGCTCCTCCAGCTTGGGCTCCCTCTTGGCCAAACCTGCCTAGACATCAGAAGACATGGAATCCTGTTTGAGATTATATGTGGCAGCTTCCCAGGACATAGAGCAGTGTGGCCAGGTGTAGAGTGTGGATCTGAAGGAGCAAACAAGTGCTCGCTTAGGCAGCACATATACTAAAATTGAAGGAATAAACAAGATGTCTGGCACAAGCATTCCAGGTTGAAAAGATAACAAAGGCAAAGCTCCTAGCAGGAGATTGCCTACTCTTTTTTGAGGAACATCAAAGAAGCCAAGGATCCTTATAGCTCACAGCTGTCTTGTCATATGCAGATGGATGAACTGCAAGGCTCTGTGAAGCAGCTGCATGCTTTTATGGATGAAAGTACCCAGTGTTTCCAGAAGGTGTCAGTACAGCTTGGTGAGTGTGTGTCTTCAAGGGACTAGAGCTTGCACTATTTTATATATGATAGTGCTTTGGATATAAACTGCCCTTCAAAGCATATGGTCTCTGGATGCCTGGGTGGCTCAGCGGTTGAGCGTCTGCCTTTGGCTCAGGGCATGATCCTGGTCCCGGGATCGAGTCCCACGTTGGTCTCCCTGTGAGGAACCTGCTTCTCTCTGCCTGTGTCTTTGCCTCTCTCTTTGTATCTCTCATGAATAAATACATAAAATCTTAAGAAAATAAAACAAAACACAAAGCATATGGTCTCAGAGAATAAGGCCTGTATGAGATTCTTTTTTCCCCCTCACAATTATTATTATGCTGTGAGTATTCAAAGTTGATGGGAAATATCTAGATGTGAATTCCATGGGAACACAGTAAACTGAGAATTAAATCCCCACAAACCATGTTGTTTTAGTAAATCCAAGTTTTGTTTTGTTTTTTAAATCCAAGTTTTTAAGTACTCATGACCATTTTCCTTTTCATTCTTCAAGAATCCATTAAGTGACACTGATATTACTTCCCTGCTGCTTTTTCTGGCCTCCTCTAGCACTAAATTATTTGCTAGATATACCTTCATTTTCTCATTACATTGTATTATGGTTGTGGTTGCAGCTGGCTTCCCTGTCAGACTGCCATCTCCTTGAGGACAGAGACTCTCTTATTTGTCATTGTAATGCCTTTCAGCATCTCACACAATGTCCATACAACCAAGTTTTCAATAAATATTATTTTGAATTCGACTGAAATTTACTTTTGTCTTTCCTCTGCAGGGAAGAGAAGCACGCAACAATTAGATCCTTCACCAGCTCGAAAACTGCTCAAGCTTCAGCTACAGAACCCACCTACCACACACTGCTCTGGGTCTTGTCAGTGACTTCATGTAGTTTTCCCTCCCACAAGGTACTCCAGAGGAGAGAAAGGGGAAGAGTGCCCCAGCACATGACAACTGCATGGCAGCCTGAGATGCTGATAGCTGCCCTATTGCCTTTGAGGATAACTGGCTGAATGTAAAGTTTTTTTTCCTAAAAGTAACAGAATTTATGCGTTTGAAAGAGTGTAGTATAGATACTTTTTCCAAGGATGTGCAGACTGCTTGCAATTTCTATTGTGGAATGACCTTGAGAACTAGTAGCCCATCCTTTTAATTACCCTTCATGATTGGTATTTGTCATCTTATGAAATGTTTTTTGGTTTTGAAATAATCCAAAGTCATTCAGGACCAAATCTAGGAAAACATTTTAGGGGTCAAGTTGGGTTCTGATAGTAAAGGAATGGAACTGATTTTCTAGTGTGGCCCTGAAGGTGATTTTAGGTAGAGGAATTGTGAGCATTGAGCATGCAGTTGTGATCCACATGCATCATGTGGATATATGTACCACTTCACAGAATGTTCAAATTGAAGGAAATACCACTCATTCTCTGTCCTGTTGTCTACAGTGTGTTTTAGCTTTTAACATTGAGTGGACATTCTAAATCCTGGATTCATGGCAAGAAAGGGCTAAGTAGTTTTTCTCATTATTCTCTATCTTTATCTATAATTTATCTATAATTTTCATTATAAAGTTACACATTATTAAAAGCTGCTTTTGTCTTTGTGCATATTTTGAGCATATGAAAAAAATTTTTAAAGCAATGAAGGCTTAGCAGAAAATAGGATTCTTTGCCAAGATGCTAAAGTAAACAGTAATATAGGGATATATGCCTCAGCATTAATTACCAGGAAAACACCAACTAATTTTTTTTTTTTAAGACTTTATTTATTCACGAGAGACACACAGAGAGAGGCAGAGACATAGGCAGAGGGAGAAGCAGGCTCCATGCAGGAAGCCTGATGCAGGACTTGATCCCAGGATCCTGGGATCATGACCTGAGCCAAAGGCAGACACTCAACCACTGAGCCACCCAGACGTCCCAACACCAACTAATTTATTGTTAATGTTTCTTATTCTCTGATCCTTGTAATAGGATAAAGCCTACTTCATTTAATTTTTTTTTTTTAATTTTTTTTTTATGATAGTCACAGAGAGAGAGAGAGAGGCAGAGACACAGGCAGAGGGAGAAGCAGGCTCCATGCACCGGGAGCCCGACGTGGGATTCGATCCCGGGCCTCCATGATCGCGCCCTGGGCCAAAGGCAGGCGCCAAACCACTGCGCCACCCAGGGATCCCCGCCTACTTCATTTAAATACCCAGTCATAAAGTCTTAAACCTTGGCCTAAGTACCAGTTAGTGAAAGGTGATATCTCCTTCCTTTGACCTACGTTCTTTTTTTTAAGATTATTTTTTTGACAGAGCACACAAGCATGGGGAGAGGGAGAAGCAGGCTCCTTGCTGAGCAGGGAGCCCCACCCAGGGCTTGATCCAAGGACCCTGAGATCATGACCTGAGCTGAAGGCAGATGCTTAAACAAGTGAGCCATCCAGGCACCCCCCTACATTCCTTTTTCTTTCGTGTATTTACAGAGCTGCTGCTATATGCCAGGTACTGTTCTAGGACCTGGGGAGAGAGCAAAGAACAAAAACAGACATGAGAGTTACTCATAGTGTCTGGAACTTAGATATGTGACCTATATGTTAAAAGCCTAGGTGCTACTTACTGTGACTAAGAAAATGTTATTTAACCTCCTATCTGTAAGATTGGAAGAAAGGTAGAACCTATATCACAGGGATGCTGTAAATCAGATTAAATAGTATAAATTTAGAATAATGGTATCAATGTGCTGAAGGGGTGAAAGCTTGAACAACTGGGTGGATTAATAGAGCAAGCTAACAAGATAGGAAAGCTAGTCAGTTCAATTTGAGATACCAGATGGAGAAGTCAACTAGACCATTGGATATAGAGATGGAAAACTGGGTAGAAAAATCTGGACTAGAGCTAAAATTTGGAAGTAATCTATATGTAGCTATCGAAACCTTGAGAATGGATAATATTGTCAAGGAAAGCTAGGGCTTTTAAGTATCCGAGGAGAGGTGTTAATTGCTTATTCTTTAAGAAGCAGAGTAGTATAATGGAAGGAGTACACTGTTTAAAGTAAATCTTTATCTCTTATGTTCAAATTTACCCATCTATAAAATGGGAATAGATAACAATTCTCCCATGTGGTTGCACCTTCCTTTATTTTATTACATGGTACTACATTTTTGTTGTTGTTTATAAGATTTTGTTCAAACTCCAGGGTAAAAAGTGCTTTTTCTGCATCTTCAACAGCCAAATAAGATAGCACGTATCAACTCTACGTATTTTACATGCATACACACCACAACCTAGGTAGTTTGTATTTTTTGTCATTAAAGATGAAGAACTCAAGCACTGAGAAGCTTACTAATCTAACCAAGGACACAGAGATAGTAGAACCAATTTGGCACTCAGTAAATGTTAATGGGTAAATAAATCATAATAAAAGTGCGTATTCTAGTTTCCCCTCTTCCCAAGTGTCCTTCAGGAATTGTGCTTGAAGAATAACAAGATTATAGACAGTCACTGCCCTTGAGGTGTTAACATTTCTTCCATTTTCCCTAATTTAGTTGAGACTGTTTTACATTTTAGTCAGCGAGATTAACCGAGAAGCTCTTTCAGGTAGGGAATTATGTCCTGTACATTTTGGTGTTCCATTGTCGAGTCATTAAGCGTAACGTGTATAGTCATTCTTAAAAACAAAAACTCCGTTCCCCTTGTGACACCCAAGAAAGGAGGTGGTGTGGCTGGCAGTCGTAATAGAGGTGTTAGAATGGAGGACTGGGAATTAGGAACCCTGAGTCTTGGATGCTAGTTCTTCAGTTAACTGTGCTCATTCACCAAAAATTTCGTAAGCACCTTCCACAAGCCAAGCACTGTGCTAGGCCACGTGCCCTTGGGTACATCTCCGGGTCCATTTAAGGAGGAGGATGCCTTCCTTGCCCTGCAAGGGTTCTGAAGCGCTTCATTAAGGATGAGATTTGGCGGAAGGGGAGCAGGCGGGCCAGACGCTGCGCTCAACGCCCCTCCCTCCCGGCAGCTCCAGTTTCGGGTTCTCCCAGGAGATTCCGCAACCTGAGAAACTACATCCAAGATGGCGCCGCCGGGCACTCCCGGCTCAGCCACCATCTTCCCTGTAGTTCCTGAGCGGGGCAAGCACTGCGCCTGCGTGGCCCCGGTATCGTCAGCGCGCCTGCGCGGCCGCAGAGCCTTCCCCGCCCCTCTCGCAGCCGCTACCGCTGCTGCTGCTGCACTGCTGGCGGGTACCCGCGCCTCAGGTGAGTGAGCGCTTCAGCCCGGCCTGTTGGGGACGCGCGGCGCTGCCTGCGGGGGTGTCGCTCTCCCGGCTTTCTCCCGCGCCTCATCTCCGCGGCGCGTGGGGGCCCGGGGCTCGCGCTGCCAGCCTTCTCCGAGTCTCCGACGCCGTCCGCGGGACCTGGCTCAGCCCGGCCTCCCTCTGCTGCCCCCAGTGCCCGGGCTTCGGGGCCCCGCGACGAAGCCGCCGATGACAGCGTGCGGACGGCGAGGGCCGAGCCTCGGGGCGCCCGACCCCTCGGTCTCAGGGACGTACCTCAGGCGCGCCCCCCTTTCCTGCTCCTGCCGTACAGGCAGCAGAGCTCTGTGGGCCTCGGGTCGGGCGTTCACCTACCCCGCACGTCCCGAAGCCGGGGGCGGGGGGGGGGGGTTGGAAGGTGCGCCGGGGAGGTCGCCCTGCATCCGTGCGACCCCGGCGCAGCGAGAAGTACCCTCGGGCTGGACCCCACGACGACCCTGTGCGGGAGGAGCTTCTAAGCCCCACTTTGCAAATGAGGAAACTGAGGCACAGAGGTGAAGTGTTTGCCCAAGGTCATGCGCTTGGTAGGGGCAGGGCTAGATCTTGAACTCAGGGTCTCGGGCTCTCAGGCCAGTACAGTTGGGATTTGATCTTGTACCTTTAAAATTTTTTGAGACTTCCTTCTCTGGAGTTGCTTCTTCAACGTCATGAAGGTAGGCTGTAAAACAGTATCTTGTTGGAGTACAATTGAGGTGTTACTGTAATAATAATAATAATAATAATCGTAGTAGTATGTTGTTGATAAGAGGTCACGTTCGTCCAAGGCTTACTGTGTGCCAAGGATATTACTGAACATCTTATGATGATTATCTCACCTAATACCTTAGCATTTCCCAATCCAGTGCGTCCCCCTTCTTTTTCATGCAGCTCCCCCCCCCCCCCCCGGAAAGCTGACTTCCATGTTACAGGTAGACAGATTAGAACCTCGTGGCTTAGGAGGTAGGGAAGCTTTCCCATATTACCTCACTGGAGGAACAGGGATAAGCCTGGTCTCCCCGCATCCAAATTTTACCCCCAGCCTGGGCCCCCAAAGGATATATATATATATATTTTTTTTTTTTTTTTTTTTTTTTTTTTTTTTTTTGAGGATATATAATTTGTCTTCCTTTTCTGGCTGCCGGGAGAGCAGGACTGGCTGGATCTGGAGGTGACAGAGCAAATTTGGCGAGCACTCACCTCATTTGGGTGCTTTTTTTTTTTTTTCCTCTGTTCCAAATGCTGGGCTTGAGCATCTCAGTATTTAAAACACAGTAGCAAGAGAAAGAAGGCATTGACAAAGTGGTGGTGAATATAAGAAGCCTCCATGATTTAAAGTCCCTAAGGAACAGCTGTAAAAATATGTGAATGTTTCTTCCCCAAAATAACTAGCTCAAGTGTCGTTTTTTTCTCCCTTAGCAAATCTTCCTACACACTTCAGAACTCCATTAACTCATCACCTTTTCTGTGAAGCCTTCCTTGCTTGATTTTTCCAATTAAAATTATACACACATACACAGTAGGGTAGAGGCTTCAGTCTTACCCTCAGGACTGTTAGCTCTTTGAGGTCAGGAGTCATCTTTGCAGTCCCAAGTGCTGGGTTCATAGTAGGCCCTTGGTAAAGATTCTGTGAATTTCCACTGCTTCTTTTCATAACTCAGTGTGATGTTTCCCTGCTGCTCTTCTGTTCCTCCTTCTTGCCCTTCAATTTCTCTTTGCTGTACTTTCCTTTAGAATCAACTTCTGGTTGAATCTGACCTGCCACTCAGAAGTCTCCATTCCATCCTGTTTCTGTAAACAGAAACCCAGATAAGGGTTTTGCACCAAGAAGCCTATTTATCCCCAACTCTAAATAGTAGATTTGGGATCAAGTCCCACGTCGGGCTCCCTGTGTGGAGCCTGCTTCTCCCTCTGCCTGTGTCTCTGCTTCTCTCTCTCTCTCTCTCTCTCTCTCTCTCATGAATAAAATCTAAAAAAAAAAAAAAGATTTTCAGTTGAATAGATGATGATCCTTGTTAA